GGAGCCTGTCATTTTGTCCTGCACTGATTTATCTTTTTTATTGATATTATTAATACATGTCCGGCACTAAGTTAACATGTCAGGTACTATTCCAGGCCTGGTGACCCTCAAAGACAGAGTATTGGTGGGTTTTTTTTTATAAATTAAGAACAATATTTCTACTTCAACTTTTAATGTACACCATATTGTTGTGATTCCACAGAGAGAATGTTTTTATAAAACATGTGTTTAGAAACAAACAAAAGCTATCAACAATCTTTAAGATCTATTTCTAACAAATTTCAGAAAAAAGAAATGTTTTTGATTCCATTGTATGTTTCATAAAGTTTTTCAGCTACACTTCCATTTCAATAGTCAAATCAAAAAACACTTATTTACCTCCGATTTAATTACCAGTATTCAATTCATTTTGTAGCAGAAGTAGTAAATTTATACATATCAATTAAACTCTTGAAGTATTATTCAGAAAAATCTTCTTTTTTTTTTTAATTGTTTCTTAAAGTTTCTCAGTTGCACTACAAAAATCACTTTTTAGTTTTGATCTAATTACCAGTATTTATTTTGTAGCAGGAGTAGTAAACTTATATCAGTTACATTCTCAAAGCATTATTCCTATAAAGTTATTTGTTACATGAACTTATTTTCGATATAATTACCCGTATTTTAATTTATTTTGTAGCAGAATTAGTAAACTTTCTACATGTCAGTTAAACTCTTGAAACATTACTCCTATAAAGTTACTTATTACAGGAACCACTTTCAACATATCTGGAACTTTAAACCTATTTTATATGCACAATATATACACTTTCTGAAAGAACCACCAAAATCATTCATCTAAAATTCCTTGTTTTGATTACTGTACACACTGTTTTCAGTAGAGTTCAGATAAAATAGAAAATCCATAGGCCATAAAAACTAGTTTTCTGTTTTAATTACTATACACACTGTTCTCAGCAGAGTTCAGATCATCCCAAACTTAGGCTGTCTGTCTACAGTTAGCTCAGCCTGAGAATAGTTATTCTCAAGGTATGAAGAAGATGCATCGCTGTGTGCAGTATGAGTTCAGATAAAATAGAAAGTCTATAGGCCATAAAAACTGGGTATTCACGGTCTAGTGTACTTTAATCCTAGATACTGGATTAAGAGATTAACAGTGGTAATCATTAATCTTGTTATACTTAAACAAATCACACATATTACATACATAGACCTAAATAAACTAGTCTCTGATAGAAAATCATAAGCTTTATACAGATTGTATACAGAATGAAAAGGTAAAAAAAAATGAACTGAAATGTGGTTTAACGTCCTATTGTTCTGCTCCAACTGGGCTAATGAAGACGGGCATACACCATACAGTGTGCTATGAGGGAAATTTGGTCCGGGCGGGGGCACTATGACCTACTCTTATATCAAATTCCAACTGACAAGGGATCTTTTACGTGCATGCCAATGTATACACAGGACCTCTGTTTTTTGGTCCCATCCGAATGACTAGATAGCAATCCTTGTCAGGCCCTCTGCCCTGCACCACTGACAAGGGGGAAACCATGTTGTAAAATATTTGAAAGGTAAAAAATGCAGGTAAATTTGCAATTCAAGAGACACTGTTGATTTTGATACTATATAGGTTATATAGTTATGTCATATGAAGTTATAATCATAATAAGCTTTAGATATTAGAAAAGGTAAAAAATACAGGTAAATATCTCATTAATACACAACATCATGGTCATTTGGAGATTAACATATGCTATTTATATACTATATAGCTGTCAATGTGAAGATGTGTGCAATGTGAAGATGTGTGCAATGTGAATCTGTGTTCAATGTGAAGATGTGTGCAATGTTAAGATGTGTTCAATGGGAAGCTGTGTGCAATGTGAAATGTGTGCAAATGCGAAGATGTGTGCAAAATATAGGTGTTCATAGTGAATCTGTTTTCAATGAGAATCTATGTGCTATGTGAATGTGTGTGCAATGTGAATCTGTGTTCTATGAGAACCTATATGGTATGCGATTGTGGGTGCAAGGTGAAGATGTGCAATATGTAGAGTTGTTCATTGTGAAGATGTGTGCAATGTGAATCTGTGTGTAATGTGCCATGTGAAGATGTGTGGAAAATGTAGAGGGGTTCAATGGGAATCTGTGGGAAAATGTTCAGATATCTGAAATATATATTTGGGAGTGGGGTGCCATGTCTCAGGGAGAAAGATGCTGTCTTCTGACCAGGAGGTCCTGATCCCTGGTGGGGTTTCCCCATTTGTCAGTAGTTTAGGAAGATCATGTAGTCGTTCAGATGAAGCGAAAGACCAAGGTCCTGTGCACACATTGGCATGTGCGAAAATGAGGCCTTGGCAGTTGGAATTCAAGGAAAAAGTAAACAGAAACACCATTGTCTGACCAAGATTTCTCTGTCAGAGACTACACTGTGTAAGTCTGTCATTATAATCCCAGTTGGTGCAGAAAAGTAGGATGTTAAACACCACTTCATTTCACTACATTTCATTTTTATGTCTATATTTTCTTGGTGTGACACAGGGTTTCTGGCATAATACTTAGAGAATTGGGTGGTTTGTTTGTTCAGACATGGCCAATCTATGTTACAGTAGATTAACAAAAACAATTTTAGTCTCCTACATGTAAGTTCGAACAAAATTTTAATCTACGTGTAGTACAAATCTGCTTGATCAGCAGAACGTATTGTTTATACTTATTAGGTTTTAGGACTGGATTCTTCATCTGAGACCAGCAGAATGTCACATTAAGCTTTTGATCTCACATGCTTTAATATACATGTACTTATTAGGGTTGCAGGATGGAATCTTCTACTGAGACCTTGAACATATCACCACACCTGGACATAATGACATCTGACAATTTCTGTGACAGCTGCCTTATGTCTAGGCTTGTATCACCATAGCAATTGAGAAAGTATTTTGTTACTTCTACTGAACGGTAAGAATCAAATATTTGTTGCACTATTATATCTATCTATTCAAGTCGCTGACCATGAATCTCTAGCAAACTACAGTTATACAATCACGTCAACCAGAATTGGTGCCTTTTAAAAAAGCCATCCACATATACATTTTATTGACTCAAACTTAGAGATATCTTTATCCTAATTTTGAATGCCAGTAGACTATGTTAAATGAACAATTTGATTTGAATGTGGTACTACTAATGCAACTTGCATCTAGATACAAGTATGCAATGACAGCAATAAGATTATTCAGTAGAACACAACTGCTGGATTAAAAACCTTTAGAAATGAAATGAAATGGGGTTTAACGTCCTACTGTTCTGCTCCTATACTGGGCTAATGAAGACGAGCATACGCCATACAGTGTGCTATGAGGGAAATTTTGCCTGGGCAGCGGCACTATGGCCTACTCTTATGTCAAATTCCAACTACCAAGAGATCTTTTATGTGCATGCCGATGTATACAAGGAACCTCGGGGTTTTTTTTTGTCCTTGTCAGGCCCTCAGTCCTGCACCACTGAAATGTCAGAAAATCCTGATTAACTTTCTCGGCCAATAAAAACCTTTAAAAGTTCTACATGTATACACTGTAAAAATTATGGTGTTCTCATATCCATGTATATGTATACATGTATATATGTAACTCAAATACAAATAGTAAGCGATATTTCGATATCATAATAGTTATAAATGATTATTCTTTTTGTAAACTGTACATATATATATATATATATATATATATATATATATATAATATGTTTTATTTTGTCATTTATTTTTAGTTTCCTATTTATGGGCTCTGGACCACCTGTCACACCTGACCAATATCCAATATCCAATATGAGAAAATAGTCTGTGGTTAATCCATGGCTGATACCTCACCTTATTTATACATGGAATGGTGTGGTGATCTTTGTCGCATCAGACTCCTGCCCCCAAAGGAGGTAAGTTTAAAACTCCTGTACTCCTGCCCCAAGTACATGTAGGTAAGTACAGAATTTCTAGTGTAAAACTCAGCTAAAACCTCCGTCCCAAGTAGGTAAGTAAGGCATTTCTAATGTAAAACTTGGTTAAAACTCCCGTCCTAAGTAGGTAAGTACACAATTCCTAGTGTAAAACTCCCGCCCCAAGTTGGTAAGTTACGAATTTCTAGTGTAAAACTCCCACCCAAAGTAGGTAAGTACAGAATCTCTAGTGTAAAACTTGGCGAAAACTCCCACCCCAAGTAAGTACGGTAAGTACAGAATTTCTAGTGTAAAACTCCCACCCAAAGTAGGTAAGTACAGAATCTCTAGTGTAAAACTTGGCGAAAACTCCCACCCCAAGTAAGTACGGTAAGTACAGAATTTCTAGTGTAAAACTTAGCTTAAACTCCTACCTCATCAGAATTGATACCTTACGCTATATATGGAATGGAGGGGTTCTGGATCTTTCTCGCGTAAATCCCCCCGCCCAAAATAGGTAAGTACAAGTACTGTACAGAACATACTCCTCGCAGTGTTTCATTTGATTAGACCTAATCTCACCCAAGCACTGCCGTAATGAAAGCAAATTTCTGTTCCAAATTTTGACTGGTCAATAGTCCGATTAACAACTAATACTTAACTGCATAACAATATCATTTGGGTTTAAACAGAGCTCCAAATATGTTTACATAACCTGAAGTCATGACTCATGAAATTTACTATACCCAATTAACCAGTGCATAACAAAATATTGCAGAAGAATGAGGCTATCAAAAATGGCTACAATGTAAACAATACTATTTGGAGACCAACAATACTTTCATCGTTTTTAATACCTTAAATAAATCAGTGTCCAGAGTTTTAGGTAAGACCCCAGATTAAACGAAGGGCTGTCATGTTGCTGTCCTTGGAATAGATTTGATTGAACGGGGAGAAAAGACAAACTCCCTCAAAAGCTCAAGTATCAGAAGTCAATATAGCAATGACTAGAGAAGGATTTCTCGGGCCATTGCTTCAGGAATATGCGTACAGAATTGATTTCTTACCTTATATATAGAATGGAGTGGTCCTGGATCTTTCTCCCGTAAAACTCCAGCGCCAAGTAAGTAAGTACAGAATTGGGAGAAGATAACTCTAATATCATGTTTCGTTAAAACCATGTGCAGATAATGCTGGCTGTCAATAGCAGAACTAAACCAATGAACTAACGTCTGACCTGAAAATACAAAATCAAGTTTAAAAATCTAATAATACTGGTATACATTAGTACCTTTGAAAAAAAAATTGGGGGGCAATCAAACTAATGAAACATTATAAGAATTTACACACCTGCAGGCTAGCAACAATTATTGATGTTTTAAAGCGAGAATTTCAAATTTTCTAAGAAAGTCAAAACATAATTTTATTTCTGTGTCTTTTGCTCAATAGGTTACATTGTATCCACTCACTATTATACAATCATGGGCATTAATTCCCATCCTTAAAAATCTATGACACAGGAAATAACAACACAATTACCTCCCCTGTTTTGCTATTGACAACATTCCAACGTTGGAATTTGAAGTTAAAAATGATATTTTTGCCAATTTCTCAGCTAGCAATAGCGAATTATAGGATTAATAGGATTATTCTTTAACAAGGTAGGACTGTTTATGGATACCATCTATTTTAAGGCTTTATTTTAATACATTTTAAAAATATAACTTGAAAATTTAAAATTGGAACTTTAAGGTGGTGAACATGAGTTCATAGGAAAAACTACAATCAGATTAAAATACAAATATCTATATAAATTTCATTTCGCTTTTTATACTACATGAAGATCTGACCGGTTGTACTGGAAGGTAGTGTCAGGGGTCGTACAAGCCGCTTTTGACCCTATGACGTCAGACATCAATTACGTCAGCATTGACGTTCTTATGGTTTACTCACAGTTCTGTGCATCGAAGGCCTAGAATTCACCGCAACAGACCATTTCAAAGCCTAATCCCCTACATCATCCAGAACAACTCTTTCAGATCATAATGTATTAAAGAAAAGTAAAACGAAATTTTGAACTATAAAAAACGAAACAAAATAAGATCTGTTTTAATCAGATTAGTTACCGGTATAAAAAAAAGTTAGCAAAGTAAAATACTAAGGAGTTTTAATACAATCTTAGTGCCTGTCACTCTTAAAAAGACAATTTTCCAAGCTGAAGGTTGGAGCTTTGGTTGGAATATCGCCAAAAAATCCACCACTGAAGTATACTGTAGGCTACTTTTTATATTGAACACATTTAAATGGCTTTAAAATTAGATGTTAGCCTACCTTCAAAAACTTCTTTTTGTCCAAATCTAAGAATTCGAGGTATATTTTCTGGCCATTTTACTGCATCTTCTAAATTCACAGTGGGCATGTAGTAATCTTTCTTTTTAGCGTCAGGATTCTTTGTAGATTTAGTTTCTAGTCGCGGCTGGGAGGCCTGGACATTAGTAATAACTTTTGGAGACTGTTTAAAATCCACAAGAACTTCATCTAGATCTGTTTCTAGCTCCCCGTCGTCCTCCTCTAATGACTTGCCCGATATACTCGAACGATTTTCCTCCTGTGACGATTTTGGCATGTTTTCTCCAAATAATGCTTGAAGCTTTTGTTCATCCATTTGCTGCATTGCCTGATCCAAATCGGTGACAACACAGCGTGATCCACTTGCAAAGTCTAGAGATCGGCTTGACTTGGGTGGTAGTCTTTTAGGTAACGGAGGCGGGTCATCCAAACTAACAGATTGGCTACGATTTGATGGAGACTTTCTTGAGGGGGAACTAGATGATATTTCTAAATTGGTCAGTTTATCCGTTGCTTCTTTTACAATATTTTCTGTTTCAGGGCAGCCGATTCGCCCTGAATGTTTTGGCACCAAATCGACATCCCGACTCTCACGTTTTTCTCCACATTTGGACGGAGAAAGGAAATCAATGGAATCGCCAATCATGACTGGTTGGAATGCTTCGTTGTCGGCCATTTTTAATTTGGTATGTAAATGAATGGAATGTGTTTTTATCACAGATTTCACACAAAAAAGCCAGAATAGAATCACATCATAAAATGTTCACGTAATATCTTTTTAACGTGCATGATGAAGGCCAATGTAATCAAAAATATTAGTCTGTAGGCCTAATTTTTTATACATTGGTACACACTACTTGGAAGACATCGATTATAAACAAATTTTTTCTAAAAGGCTATTCCATTCAGATGTTTTCTCATGCTAATTGTTAATTGCTTACATGTACCTAAAAAATTAGAAACAACCATTAATTTTTACATTTACTAATTAATGTATATAAGTTAGCATTGTTGTTAAGAAGCCTGAAAATAAGGCACCTGTCACAGATATTGTCAGACACTAAATCTCTGGTGCCTGTCATTTTGTAAGGCACTGATTTGTCTTTTTTATTGATATTATCAATACATGTGCAGCACTAAGTTGAAAATGGCAGGTAAAATTTCATTAGTGCCTGACATTTTGTCAGCTACATCTAAAACAGTTATTTCCCACTATCGTGATTCGCACTACGATTGAAATCATGGTTTTAATTGTGGAGTAATCATGGTCTTATCATATATTGAGGTCAGTCGTAGCAATGATGTTGATCGTATCGAAACGTATCTGAACGTATCTGCACATACCAGATCGTGGTCTCAATATTGACAATCCTATGCTAACACATCGTACAATGTGGGAACCTATCATTAGTCAGAATGCTTACTGGTTTGACTCTTTGATTTCAATAATAATATATTTTACTGCTGTAAATAAGCAAGCCTTTACTTACATTACATTGTATTATCTTTTTTAAAAACAATTACACACATTAATAGTCAGATGCTTATTGTTTTAGATCCAAAGCCTGATTTTACTATAAAAGAAGTTGCACCACAGGAGCTTGTATCATGGAAAATCTCTTTCAAAAATACTATTAATTAAGCTGAGATGAAAGTATTATATATCAATTCTTTAAATGACATCTAGAACCACAGTTAACTATTCATAATAAAACACAACACAAGGTATATATGGATATAACGACGTTTCGTAACATATACAGTGCCATGTTTTATCATTAACTTGTCATTTTTAATTTAAAATCGTAATATTTTGGTTTAAAGAATGTCCCTAAAAAAGCATGAGAGCGAGAGAGAGAGAGAGCGAGAGAGAGAGAGAGAAAGAGAGAGAGAGAGAGAGGGTTTAGTCCACTCAATAGAAACTAGGTCATTTTGGGACTAACATATGGTTCAGTTTTATTTCAATAATTCGCTTGTGCATAGGGGTCTTCAGCAGTGGGATGAAACTGGAGGACCCGGAGAAAACCCACGAGGTTGGACAGGCGACCCTACTCTTTGTCATGTACAAGCGGGGAATCGAAACCATGCCAATAATTGACGCAATGACAGACCTTATGATACAACGCTCACATGCTAACCATTCAACCCCTCACCCCACAAAGAAAAGCAATTTCTAATGAAGCGATTTCGTGCAATACATAAGTTATGTCCCTTGGTTACAACTTCCAAACTTGGTTGGAAATCGAATTTCGAGGTGAATTTAAAAGCGTTACGATTTTAATTTCAAAATGACAATTTAGCATAAAGAACAGTATGGTATATTATCAAATATTAATATAAATTGTTGCGATATAATGTGTTAAATTATGGTGGATTTGGTTACAACTTCCAAACATGAGAAATCGCATTTTGAGGGGTATTTTGAGACCAAAATTTTACAATTGTAAATTGAAAATGACAAATTGGCATAAAGAATGGAATATTGTCAAATATCATTATTGTCTTTTAAGTTGAAATAATAGTCGATTTGTGTAGATTTGGGTAAATTGTGTTACCTGTACAAATGAATGAGTGTCAACGTGAAGGGCATTGTATCAATATAAGGGTTCAACTTGCAACCATATGTGTGCCACCCAAAAGTAAACAAGTCCCTAGTCGTCTCGCCCAAATAATTTCATCTTGATGAAAAAAGCTTGTCACAGAAGTTAACTCCTTGATTATTGCTCTTTACAGGTAATAAAATAATTTAATCTTCATGCCTGTCAACTCACTAATTCAACCATTTTACTTTCGTAAAAAAGGCCCACCTCCTTTAAAGATGTGTACCTTTGATGATAATTAGGTCATTGAAAATGTAAAAGTTGAGTCAAGCGACAACACCTTCAAAAATAAACATTGGTTTTACTGCAAATTCATTCAAGCAAAAACTGTTTGCGAAAATAATAAAGGGGAACAGCTGTTTATATGTGTTCAGCTTTTCCACAAATTACAACTTACAGCACAGTAACTGGCGCAGACTTCACAAGATTGATTTGTTTTGTAAGCAGAAGGACAAATACAGATTTTAAAAAGTTTTTGGAAATTTTTTGACAGGTGTCCGCCATCTTCTTTTACTGCTTGAAGGGAGGTAACTCTACTATAATGGTTTCAGACTGGTAACTCTCTCCTCCCATTCAAAGTAATGTGAAATACGTGTTAAATCTTTGACTATATTATTTTATTGAACATTCCCATTATTTTAATCTTTAAAAACAAAAACATCAGAATAATTATCTGATAAAAGTCAAAACAAGGGTTGACTATTTTGATTTTTGAATGCAGGGTCAAATAAATATATAGGATTAAGTGAGAGTGAGAGAGAGAAATGGGGTTTAACGTCCACTCGACACAAACAAGGTCATTTCGGGATTAACATATGGTTCAATTTTATTTCAATAATTCGCTTGCACAAAGGAGTCTTTAGCAGTGGGAGGAAACCGGAGAAAACCCACGAGGTCGGACAGGCATCCCTACTCCTTGTCACATACAACCGGGGAAACAAAACCACGCGCGTTGACTCAATGACAGACCTTATGATACAGCGTGCACATGCTAACCATTCGGCCATCCAACCCCACCATAGGATTAAGTACTAAAGTAGCTGATATTCCTATTATATGACTCTGTTCAATGCTGATCCTTCCACTTCAAATTAAATCATACTTATCTAAACATGGCAGAAAAATTGTATTTAAACAAATGTATTCACCAAAAAGTTAATAAAAATTGTCACGTAAAAGGAGGAACTGAGAATTGCTAGAGTGTATGTTCACTGAATGTGTTAGGTTACTGGTACTGGGTCGAACTAGATAGATTGTCACAATGAATAACAAAGGTCTTGGATGCAACAATTAATCTCCAGGGGTAGCCTATAATCAACCTATTTAATTTCCATAGTGTAACAAGAGGGGTTCACTAGTCCGCGGCTTTAAGAAATACTATATATATGGGTATCAAAATACATAATCCGAACCCTAACCCTAACCCTGATAATAGATATTGGTGGACTAATGAACCCACGGACTAGTGCACTTTAACCCTAACCCAACCCCTGTAATAGATATCAGTGGACTAATGAACCCGCAGACTAGTGCACCTTAACCTTAATCCTAACCCCTATAATAGATATCGGTGGACTAATGAACCTGCAGACTAGTGCACCCTAACCCAACCCCTATAATAGATATCGGTGGACTAATGAACCCGCGGACTAGTGAGCATTCCCCGGTGTAACCATTAATGCCCAAAAAAGTATTGGATGTGAGAATCTTCAGGGTAAAATGGCCCTGGGCTGACAGGGGTTTGGCAATCATTTTCCAAAGTCAAAAAAGTCTTTAGTCTGCCAATTAGCATATTGTCAATGATGCAAAAGATAGGAATTTTAATGTTTTTCACCAGTGCCAGTGGTCAACAAGTTTGAGGTATGACAATGAATGTCTAGGTCAAACTAGTCTTGGGGAGCCACTAGGTCATTTCATGACGAACATACTGTATGGTGCAATTTTAATTCAATAATTTGCTTGTGCGTAGGGTTTTTTTTTATCAGTGGAAGGAAACCAGAGGACACAGAGAAAACCCATAAGGTTGGACAGACAACCCTACTCCTGGTCATCGAAACCACACCACTTAAATCATTGACAGACCTTGTGACCTAAAGTGCATGTTAAACTATTTGACCACAAGCTATATTCCCACTTTATTCTACGTAAGTCTGTTCTCCTCTTCAGCAGGGAATACTCCATCTTGTGTATTTCTACTCTCTCTGCCTGCATCAGTTTTTGATCCACATACTTCACAGATCTATCCGCTTGTCCAGCCTTAGCTGCCTGGTTTCCCCTTGTCAGTGGTGCAGGACGGAGGCCCTGACAAGGACAGCTGTCTAGTTGTTCGGATGGTACAAAAAATCGATGTCCCGTGTACACATTGGCATGCACGTAAAAGATCCCTTGCCAGTTGGAATTCGATATAAGAGTAGGCCATAGTGCCATTGTCTGGGCAAAATTTCCCTCATAGCACACTGTATGGCATAAGCCCGTCTTTATTAACCCAGTCGTAGCAGACGGTAGGACATTAAACCCCATTTCATTTCATCTCTTTTATTGGAATGTTGCCAATACCCCCAACCCCACCCTAAGTATGTAATTAAAGCGTATATTTGAAATTTGAATGAATGCACTAAAAAAAAAAGAGAGAGAAATGGGGTTTAAAGTCCATTCGACACAAACTAGGTCATTCGGGACTAACACATGGTTCAATTTTATTTCAATAATTCACTTGCGCGTAGGGGTCTTTAGCTGTGGGTGGAAACCTGAGAACACACAGGAGGTTGGACAGGCAACCCTACTCCTTGTCATGTACAACCGGGGAATCGAAACCACGGCAGTTGACTCAATGACAGACCTTATGATACAGCACGCATGTACTAACCATTCGGCCATCCACCCCCTGCGAAAAAACAAAGAAACAAAACATATCCACTTTCAAATTAGATTTATATAATATAATTAAATACAATACAGTATTCTAGTTGACAATCTGGAGGTTGTAATGAGTCTAGTTGACAATCAAGAGGTTGTAATGAGTCTAGTTGACAATCAAGAGGTTGTAATGAGTCTAGTTGACAATCAAGAGGTTGTAATGAGTCTAGTTGACAATCAAGAGGTTGTAATGAGTCTAGTTGACAATCAAGAGCTTGTAATGAGTCCTGTTTTTTTTATGTATGAACTACCTGATATATGACTATCTCAATATCTATATCTTTAACCCTGTCAGTTACATAGTCTTAAAATACAGATGTGACCTCATCCTTGAATGTTGGCGTACCATTATTTCAAATAATGCTACACTAGTTGAAATATTGGACCCGCGTGACGTATTTCATTGAAATGCACATGCTGGATAGTGTCTGTATTTTAAGTTATTTAATCGTCTGGTGCAAGACATTGCGTAATATATAGATATAGCCCTTGTGCAATATCAAATTATTATTTAATGTCTAGCACTCAACCATTAAACTACACTTAATTTAAAATATCTCAATGCTGTCAGCAAAATAGTTTGTATTTTTATTTTAACTTATTAATAATTTATTCTAGGGTGATGGTCCTATCAAGTAGTCTTGGTCACCCAGAACCTCCTAGTCTTCAATGTAGGGATATTTTTCTGGATGATAGAGACTAGGTATCAACATGCACTATGAATAAATAAAATACATGTTTTTCTTACAAGGACAGGTGACTTTATCTAGACAATACTTTAATGAGTGGTATTTAGTAACTGAACAGTGACACACAAAACACTATTTATGGAATGACAATAACTGGTTTATCATTTGGGGGGGGGGGGGCAGGGAGGGAGGGAGGGAGGGAGGGAGGGAGAGAGAGAGAGAGAGGGAGAGAGAGAGAGACCTCAAACTAGGTCATTTAGGGACTAACCCCATAGGGGTCTTTAACAGTGGGAGGAAGCTAGAGGACCCAGAGAAAATGCAGAAGGTTGGATAAGCGACCTATCCGTGAAACCACGCTGAATCAATGACAGACCTTATGATTGAACACACACTCTAACCATCGCCTTCCCCCACCCCCCCAGATCGTGGAAACATTGTGTGTTAATAACCTAGTATTTGTTATTCCATAAATAGTTTTTAGTGTATGGAATATGGAGTATGATCTATACAATGTATTAAAGATGTATTATATTAGAGCTAATTCTGCCTATTATAGCTCCTTGTTCTCACTTCAAATGATATCAACTCCCTAAACCGTCGGATGGAAGAGAAATTTAATGGATTAGACCATTCACGCCATTTAATTGGTTAACGTTAAAATGGAAAATCAAGACTTTGTTTATTATCGTACCAACGACAATCGCAACTACGATATTCTTGTCAAAACTTCAATCATTCATAACTTTGTTCAGAATAGAGTAATTTGACTCATTATTTATTTTATGGCAAGAACATCCAGCTCTTTATCTAAATTTTACATAATGTATCTTTAATATTTTCTATGATAAAGTTTCCCTAATGATAAAATAAGTTGTCAGATATATAGCACATATGGTGTGAAGATTGACTAATTTACATAAAAATAATTATTTTGAACAGAATCATCACCGATCGGTACATTCTATATATATAAACCAAAATATCAAGTTGTTTTAATTTTATCATGGAATAAGATTGAAGAAATTCTTTTTTGTTTTTTTAGTCCGTTTATTTGGCTCTATTCAAACTATATGATACAGAACCATGACAAATTCAGAGTCAGAGATTGTTGATATTATATTGTTAGTTTTGTATGATTATAATGGATACTTAAAAAAACAACATTCTACATTCAATCATTCCAGTTACAACACCGTTTAAACTTTCCTCTTAAAGGACAATATTGGTGCCAGTCATTATAATAACTTTTGGTCTTCGAAGGAATTATTAGTGAGCAGAAATTCACCCATGTATCTGTTATCACTCGTCACTTCAGCCAGTTATATAGAGGGATAACTCGTGTTTTCCTTTTGCGTTCGTCACTTCCAATTGTTGAAGTATTGATTACGCATCTATCATAACAATGATCTCTGTGATAAAATAATAGTTGGAACGTGTTTAACCAGTTCTATCACATATGTGATAATGACAGGCACCAATATTGTCCTTTAAACTCATTCAAATTATAAATAAAAAGCATAAAAAAAAGCTCATCGAATGTTTGTACCTTTTGCTAAATTCTCTCGCGTATAATAAACAAAAGTTCTGAGATGCCCATACTCTATTCTATGGACCAACTGAGAATATTGGAATAAATTTCCCTTCAGAAGATTCTCTACATACAAATGTCTAAAGGCTTGTATGCGAAAATCTTCCAAATAATATTGGTCCTGCTGTACTGCTTGCAGATATGGTAAATACCACTTCACAAGCTGTAAATAACATTTCATACCCTCGGCAACACACTGTAAATTGATATTCAAATCAAACCAAATGCTTTAAATATATTTCAATTTTTTATATCATGCATTTACAGTAGACAATAAACCAGATTTTTACTCAAAAGGACTATAAATTAGATAGTATATTTTGCAAACACCATGTTCTAACTGTGAATACCATATTAGTCCTTCTGTTTAACAGGCCTATTGGTTGTGATTAACGTATATACCACTTCATTAGTTGTAAACACCATGTTCTAATTGTGACAATAAACCAGATTTTTACATATATGGACTACAAATTGCATTGTATATTTTGTAAATACAACTTCACTAGTTGTATACACTATGTTTTAACAGTAAATACCATATAAGTTATTGCATGTTGACAGCATATTTGATATTAAAACCTTTCATGTAATAATTCATATTTAGGCAGGGCTCAACGTCCCGCTTCCACCCAATCAGATTAAAATACAGATCTATATTTCGTTTCGTTTTTTTATACTTTCGATGGCCTACACTACAAGAAGATCTGACCAGTTGTTGTGATAGGTCACGTCAGAGGCCATACGAGCGGCAAGTGAGCCTATGACGTCAGACATCTGATTAACCAATCAGCATTAGTGTTACTGGTGGATTTGCCACAGTTGTGTGCAAAACACGCCTAAAGCTTGCCGTAACAGACCGTTTCATCGGCTAATACCTCACACTATTCAGAACACGTCAATGATAACAACTCTTTCAGATCCTAGAGTAGTAAAATGAAATTTTGAACTATAAAAAACGAAACGAAATAGAGAGAGAGAGAGAAATGGGGTTTAACGTCCACTCGACACAAACTAGGCCATTTCTAGACTAACATATGGTTCAATTTTTATTTCAATAATTCGCTTGCGCGTAGGGGTCTTTAGCAGTGGGAGGAAACCGGAGGACCTGGAGAAAACCCACGAGGTTGGACAGGCGACCCTCGAAACGTAATAGGATCTATGTTTTAATTTGATTGGCTTCCACCGAGGGTGATATTAAAACATTTACATTTAATAAATAATGAGATAAACCAATAAACCACATTTTAATCTACAGGTTGTTTTTCTTTTTCAATAAAATAAAATCTATTTTCACAATGGTTACAATGATGTCCAGTGATAATTTACTAAAATGATTTTGATGAAGATGAAGCTATTTAATTTTGTTTATATTTTTTCAGCAGCCATTCTCAAATTTTGTTTATCAAAAGCAGCAATCAAAACAGGTTATCGATAACCATAAATTAATTTAATGCACATACACACATTTAGATATCAATCCACCATATTACTAACTTTATTAAACAAATAAAGAAATTTGTGTCCCAAGTCCCTTCACGAATTAGTTTCCAGTGCCTGTTTCTCGAAATCTTAACTAAAGATAATATCCAAATTTTAGTAGATATTTCAATTTTGATTGGCTAAGCACTAAAATCAATCTAATATTATCCAATCAAATTACTAAAATTTGGATTTTATCTTAGTTAAAATTTGTGTCCCAAGCCCTTCATGAATTACTTTCCAGATTCGTAACATTGCTGTAAGGAAGTCTAAGCATTAGATACTAGTGGTTTAAATTTTAAATTTTAATTCATAATGGTTTCACACATAATTCAAAATGGTGGGTAAAGTTTGGGAATGGCCGCCACATAAATTTGAATAGAATAGTAAAAAGGTGTTTAACATGATCCTAGAGAAAATAAATACAAATTGTTTTTTTTTTTTTGTAAATTCACACGACAGACTAAATCTAGTTTATAATATTTATCATAATACAATATAAATTCATCTATTTGAAAATATCTTTATACACAAGCAACCTGACCTTTGACCTCACAAGATGACCTTGATGAATTACTATTTAAAAGCTGAAGTGGGAGGATCGTTGCTATGGTAACCTTTTAGTTGCCATATCAACTCTATACACAATGACTATATACATATATAATTTGTTTCTAAGAACTTGTGAGATTAAATTAAATAAAGTTACCATAGTAACATGGCATCAATATAAATTACAAATTAGTCACAAAAAAAAAAAGTTTTTTGGTATATTTGCATATTTGATTGATTTGTCATGAATTTTCGATCATTATTTTGATAAGAAATCATCCTTTTTTTCTTATTGCAGTTTTATATAAAAATCTCAAGAGAACTAGAACCGTTTACAGCAAGCTGCTTTAAAGGTACAAGACAGCTTCAATTTGGGTAACAGAAAGAAAGTTGTTCTGTTTGTTTTAAACAGAACGATTTACAGCTTAGCGCTTTAAAGCAAGCCACTTTAAAGGAACACAACGACTTCAATTTGGGTAAAAGAAATAATTTGGTTTTTTTAAATACTCGGATGTGTTATTTGATCAGTGATCTGGTAAAATATTCTCAGAGGCTGATTTTGTTTATTAATTTGAATTCTGTTATTTAACTGTTGAAAGCAAAATCTCTTATATTGCCTAAAAATCTTAATTTGGAAGAATCAAATGTTTTGAAGTATTATTTTGTCCAAAAAATATATTTTATAAAATTCTCCATCTTAGAATATGACTTACTCATTAATTTTAATTATTATTGTTCGATTTATATAGAGCTTCATTACACATGAGTGTTTCCAAGTGCACGAATTCTGTTATTTGATTGTTGGAAGCAAACACTTTTATTTCAACATTAATCCAAGAACATCAAGTTTTAAATTTACAAGGGCATCAATCTATTAAAACCAGATCAGATTGGATCAAAAGGATTGTATTATTCTTTCACCCAAATTAAAAAGATCCTATGCTTTTAATGAACACTCATAAGATTGGATCCAAAAGATTGTATTATTCTTTCACCCAAATTAAAAAGATCATATGATTTTATAAATTTATTATTCTAAGGTGCATGTGAAACTAATAAATAACTTATAATACAAGACATAATTTACAGTAAAAAACAGAAAATAACAAAAGCACCTGAAAATTCAAATAAGCCATTTTAAGTATTCTATGCAATTAATTTACACCAAGTTCCCTAGGGTCACAAAAAGTTGATTTTCTTTTCTTTGGGAACACATGTTTATATTTTTCTTATTTCTTTGGTAAAAATATTAATTTAAAAAACCAAAACTTCTTAGTTACAGTGTTCAAAAGCTCTTAGTTCCAAATTTGTAAGTTTTGAAATTCTAAATGAAATATCTTTCATGTGATTGAAGAAGCCATTTATTCAGAACGACACAGAATAGAAAATCAAAATGGCTTGGTCTAGTTAGACTGTAACCCAGGTATCATTTAATCTTGTGTATCTAGCACTAATTTCTTTCACATGCATTTAATATCAAATCTCTGTTTAAAAATTTGTAAAAATCATTTAAAATCACCAAAAATCAACCAATTTGTACTTGTGTTGACTGATTAATTTTGATAATGAGTGTCCAGTTTGTAAGTATTTAATTTCCTGAACACTGTTCAAAAATTAATCATTATACATTATTAATTAATTGGGTTGTTTATTTTTTTTAACAGTGATTGAAGGATTTATGGTGATTTTAACAGTTTTTACGAATTTTTAAACAAAGATTGGATATTAAATGAATGTGAAAGAATGTGAGAGCCACCTGATAAATCGGAATATTTTTATAATCCATAAACTTGTAATATAATAAAGAAATTGCACGTACATGTGGATCAATCAGAAATATTTAATTTTTGTTTAATTTCATAAAGAAGGAATCACACAATAAATCTTTCAGCAGACGGAGCAAACCCCCGAGCACGATTTTTTCACAGAACTCTTGTAGCGAGTAAAACCACTAATAATGTACATTCTAATAATAATAATAATAATGGTATTGAATATATTTACAATATTGGATAGGGGTGGGTTAGTGTCCGTTAATTAGGCAATATACACTTGTTTCCTTGGTTACAAACATTCAATCAACTGAACGCAACTTTGTTACAAAATATTACAATAATATTACAAATATTGTTACAAATATTGTTACAAATATTACTATGATTATTCCGACATAGATGAATATAAAATGGACTCGAGACTGGAACAGTGGACAAGAGCATAAAGCAATTAATTAATTGCGCTATGTTCGAGTGTGCATGAACGCATGAAAATCGATCAGCAGGTTTTCTCCATTTTATATCTATCTCTGGTACGAATATAGCGTATGGTATAAACTACAGCCTTAACATAACAACCGAGATAAATCTCCCTCTATTCCATAATAGATTAATCCATATTCAATCACAGGATGCAGATTTGATACACAAAAGAGACTATCCTATTCTCCATTAAAGGGGGATTTATTATTCTGTCATTTATGATTTAAGTGTAGAAGTACATAACTATCGTGGCACAGCAGAATGAATTAAAACTTTCTGTTGACACAAAGAAAGTAAATTAAAAGGGGACAATGTAAATTCTTGGTTGAACTTTCTGGAATTTATTCCTCTTAACCTAGAGACTTAGGGTGACAATCGTTTAAAATGAAAGTAGTACTTCCTGAATAAGTACGTCAACCAATCAGATCATGTGATTGTAACGTCGTCAGAGTGATGCTATTTTCTCTGACAATATACAAATTCAATATATATTATCAGATTTGAAGTTCCAAGTTTTCTAATCAAATTATAATTTTTCTTTAGAATGAAAAAGAGAGAATCAACACAAATTAGGTCACTTTGGGACTAACACATGGTTCGATTCTATTTCAATAATTCACTTGAGCGTAAGGGTATTTGGCTGTGGGAGGAAACCGTAGAAAACAAATGAGATTAGACAGGCCCCTCACACAAAAATCACATCATAGACATTAATTTTGAATAATTTTGAATATTATAGCTGCCTGTTTTGATCGCTACAGACAAATATTGTAATTTATCAATAAGTTAATTTTATCTCGGAGTATTTAGAAACACTACTTCAAAGATACATTATGTAAGAGCTACATCTGCCTATTGCAGGTCTTTATTTTGGCTTCAAATGCTATATAAGCTATTATTTATACATATATTCACATGGCAAGACCCTAATCAACTCGTTAGACCATCGGATGGCTGAGATTAAAATGAATTAGAAGACCTGTGAGAATTAAAAATTTAACGATACAATGGATAATCGAGACATATATTATTCATTATCTATTTTCGAACTATTATAGCAAGAATGGCCAGCTCTTTATCTAAATCTTACATAATGTATCTTTAACCCAAGCAGTCATTTGTTCTAGGTATTGGCTTCACAAGACTGGATGAACATACAGGGTGTAGAAACGACTGGAAGTTTATTCTACATTGTTACTTTTCTTGCGATCATTGTCAATCTTCTTCTTTCATTGTCTCGGGTGACTTTGAGTTTCTTTCTGTTCGCAGAAGGGTCGTTGGAGTTAAGAGCAGACGATGGCTTTCGATTAGATAGGATGATTTGTCAACAACTGCTACTATTTACAGTCCCGAGACCATTGCTGTGCCACGGTGTGAAATAATTTTAATTTGTTCCTAGTCTAAAGATGACGCGTGTCAGACAAAAACTTTTGCCAGAGCATCCGCCCCTGCGCTCGCTATGTAGGGTTTCTGAGGGTGGAAGGCAACGTCATGTATCGATTCATCAAATTTCTTACGATGTGACGTTATTTCTTGCACACATGTTTTACTGTCTAAATTCCATAATCTTATTGAACAATCGTGGCCTGAAAAAGAAAAAGAAACAAAAAGATTAATAAAAGTAAAAAAAAATAATTTAACACCAAACTAGATAATTTTTCGTACAATAAGAGACCACAATCCATGGAGTCGATACATGCCTATATCAAAAAGAACTGAGATTTTTGCAATATTAACCTACATTTAAAGTTTTGTCAAGATCGAACAAAAATTGTGACCTGTAGTGTGTCCGCAAACAAATTGTACAAACAGGGCCCATAATCCATGAAGTTACGGTCCGATAAATGCCAATATCAAAAGGAACTGAGATCTTTGTGATATAAACCTACATTTAAAGTTTCGTCAAAATCGGATAAAAACTGTGACCTGTAGAGTGTCCACACACAAAATGTGAACGGACGGATGTCTGCACAGGGGCAATGACAATATGCATCCACATGAAAAATGTGGGCGTATAATATTGGTGCCACATTTGTCACACTTCCGGATACTGGCTTGAAAAATATGTACAGCTTTGCTTTGGCCATGCGGCAATTCACCCCATAGACATTCTAGCAACAAGTCCAGAATCTTGACCACACATGCATGAAATGAAATGGGGTTTAACGTCCTACTGTTTTGCTCCAAACTGGGCTAATGGAGACGGGAATATGTCATACAGTGCTATGAGGGAAATTTTGCCTGGACAGCGGCACTACGGCCTACTCTTATATCGAATTCCAACTGTCAAGGGATCTTTTACGTGCATGCCAATGTGTACACAGGACCTCACTTTTTTTGTCCCATCCGAATGACTAGACAGCTGTCCTTGTCAGGCCACACATGCATGCATACTGAGATTTACATACAAGATTTGAAAGAAATATACAACTTACTTCCTGATAAAAGATATAATCCATTTGGATCGACAGCTAAACAAGTTACAGAATCTAAATGGGCTACCATAGAATGAACTATTTGACCTGTAAAATAAATATTATAATAGCTTGATATAAAGAAATGGGCTACCATAGAATGAACTATTTGACCTGTAAAATAAATATCATAATAACTTGAGATATAGAAAGAAAGAGAGAGAGAGAGAAATGGGGTTTAACGTCCACTTGACAAAAACTATGTCCTTTTGAGACTAACATATGATTCAATTCTATTTCAATAATTTGCTTGCGTGTAGGTTTTTTTTTTCTTTTAGCTGTGGGAGGAAATTGGAGAAAACCCACAAGGTCAGACAGACGCCAGCTGACTCATGACATACCATCCACCCCACCCACGAATGGGATATAACGTCACCGACTGGGTTAATAAGGAGGGAATACCGACCTGTATTATTATCAAAGAATCGAATATGTCTATCTTCATGTGCTGTTATAGTTAAAGGTAAAGTAGGATGACTAATAACACGATTTATCTGATTTGTAGAACTTGAATCTGAAAATAAAAATATTATTAGAAAGGTTCAACATCCACTTGACAAGAACTAGGTACAATTTTATTTTAATAATTCCCTTGTGCTTAGGTGTCTTTAGCAGTGAGAGGAAACCTACAAGACTGAAAAGGCAATCCTAATCCTCGACTTAATGACAGACCTTATGATCAAAAGTGCATGTTACATTACTTAATCGACCCAACCCCAATTCGATATCAGACCTTATAACTTAAAGTGCATATTAAGTTAGACCACTCGATTCACCCAACCCCAATTCGATAAGACAGATCTTTTGATCTAAAGTGCATATTGTTTTAGATCACTCGATTCACCCAACCCCACCTCGATGATGACAGACCTTATGGTCTGAAGCACATGTTAGATAACTCGATTCACACATCCCCACCTCAATGAAGACAGACCTTATGGTCTGAAGCACATGTTAGATCACTCGATCCACCCAACCCCATTTCAATGATCTAAAGAGCATACGTTTGACTACCACCAGATAATAAAGAGTATACATTGTGCTTGATAACGATAAGAGGATACGTGTCGAAACGTTGTGCTTTTGGAATAAAATCAGTGATTGTTTCCCATAAAAATTGTGTTCTGTTAATGTGTTTCCTAATCGCTAAATTCCACTTAAAGATTGAGTCTACAATACCTGAGTTTTGTTTAGTTTCTAATTTTAGCACTTGTTGTCCAGTTTCTAAATCATAAATATAAGTATTAGAAGAGGTATAACTAGCAACCATTTGACTTGGATCACATCGAACGAAATCTACACTAGTAGGTACTCCATCTTCTGTAATTATATACATATATACATTATATTTGTAACATCTACTAACTCAGGCTATACAACAGTTATATGTAGATCAGTATTTTTTGTTCATTTTGAGTGTTGTCTGTGTCACTATAGGCCCAGGGATTGTACAGCACTTTAGACACTTATGGGGTTTAATGTCAACTTGACACAAACTAGTTCATTTCGGGGCAAACATATGGTTCTTTAGCAGTGGGAGTAAACAGGTAGACCGGGAGAAAACTCATGAGGTTGGACAGGCGACCCTACTCCTTGTCACGTAAAACCGAGGAATCGAAACCAGGGCAGTTGACTCAATGACACCTTATGATGCAACGCGCACGTGCTAACGATTCGACCATCCAACCTCTATTTTGTTTTACATGTACTAAGCGTACCTGTATCTACTGTAAAAGGTATTCAGTATAATATTTACCTGTATCTACTGTGAAGGTATTAAGTAACGGTGATTTGGTACCTGGACTCCACAATCTGACAGTACCATCACCCGAACATGATAATACATGAGATTTACTACTGTGAATAGATAAACCCCATACAGCATCCGTGTGGGCAATTAACGTATCTTGTAATACACTAGGATCTGAAATAATACAAGTCAAAATATTCTTATTCATTTATAAAAACAAACTACATAGGGTTTAACATTCACTCGACACAAACTACATCATTTCAGGACGAACATATGGTTCAACCTTTTTTCAATAATTCGAATGCGTGTAGGGGGAGTTAGTAGTTGGAGGAAACCAGAGGACCCAGAGAAAACCCACAAGGTTGGACAGGTGACCCTACTCCTTGCCACGTACACCCGGGGAATCGAAACCACGCCACATGCTAATCATTTGGCTATCCAACCCCCTGATTCATTTATAAATATTAAAGAGAGGGAGGGGGAGAAATGGGGTTTAACGTCCACTCGACACAGATTAGATCATTTTGGGACTAACACATATTTATATTTTATTTCATTAATCTGCTTGTGCATAGGGAGCTTTAGCAGTGAGAGGAAACCGGAGGACCCGGAGAAAACCCATGAGGTTGGACAGGAGACACCACTCCTTGTCATGTACAGCCAGGGAATTATAAAAACAAACTACATAGTAATACACTAGGATCTGAAAGAGCGATAGGGTTTAACGTCCCCTCAACACAAACTAAGTCATTTCAAGACTAATATATTTAATTTTATTTCATATTTCAATAATTCACTTCAGCGTACGGTTCTTTAGTAGTGGGAGGAAACTGGCAGACCCCGTAAAACCCACATGGTTGTACAGGCGACTGTATTCCTCACCACATACAAGCAGGGAATCTAAACCACGCCACTTGACTCATTGACAGACCTTATGATTTAAAGAGGATGGGTTATATCACTTTAAGTACAAACACTGTAACCCAGGTATCATTTAAAATTGGGTTACCACTAATTTCTTTCACATTCGTTTAATATCAAATCATTGTTTAAAAATTCTTAAAAATCGTTTAAAATCATCCCAGTTTTTTCAAACTATATGTTATTATCATTTCTATATTCAATGCCATGAACTAATCTGCATGAAGATATTTTTGATACTAAAATTACATATATATGCAATGGAGAATTTTAAATAAAAAGACTCATTCATAAGGCAAAAACTCGTCTAGAAACTTTAAAGAATTGATTACCTATTTAAGTATATCAGAGAAAAGTTTACTTATCTCAATATATGTAAATAATTATGTAAATTTGTAATTTATGTTTCTTATTGTGTACTATGAGTATGAAATAAAGAATTATTTGAATACGTACCATATGAATCGTAAGGATCAATATTAGAATTTGGTATATTCCAACATCTAATGGTTGAGTCCATTCCACCACTATAACACTGTTCACCGCTAGCACTAACAGCTAAACACAAGACAGGGCCAACATGTGCTCGAAAAGTATAAACTGGTTCAACATCTAGCGATGTCGTTCTAGAATAACAAATACGAGAGTAAGTACAAAATAGAAACACAGATGCAAACATAAGTCATTTACCGGATAGTTTGTGTTAGAACAGAAACTTAAAGCGAGAATTTCATATGTTCTATGTCTTTTGCTCAATAGGTTGTCAACTCACTATTATACGATCATAGGTGTCATTCTCACACTTAAAACTCATTTACACTGGAAATAACACAATTACCGCCCTTGTTTTTCTATTCTCCCAATGGAATAGCTATCTTCAAAAGTTTGAATTTGAAGTTGAAAATGATATTTTTGCTAATTTCTCAACTGGCAATAGTGAATTATAGGATTATTCTTTAACAAGATATGACTGTTTATAAATACCATCTATTTCAAGGCTTTATTTTAATACATTTTAAAAATATAACTTAAAAATATGAAATTGTCACTTTAAAACATACATTATGCAAGAGCTAAATCTGTCTATTGCAGGTCTTTCTTTAGGCCTAAAATGTTATCTAAATTATTAATTAGACATTAATTAACTTATCCAGACCATAATCAACTCTCGATGGCATCGCTAGCCTGCGATATTTAGCGGATTATGAGCCGATTTACTGCATAATTAAATGGATAATCGAGACTATGCTGTTTATCGTACTGACTTCAGTTATGATGAACGCGGCTAGGCGAAAATTTCAATCGCTTAGTTCTCGGCTCATACTGGATCAATTTGACTGAAATTTTTCAGCAAATTGCCTTTACATTATCTAGTTTTTAACTATTACAGTGAGAACTGCCAACTCGTTATCAAATCTCCCATAATGTATCTTTAAGGGGCATTATAAAACTTGGCATGCTTGTTCTTCGGACAACTAAGCATCAATTAACACACTTTAATTAAAACACAGATCCTAATTCATTTCTTTTTTTTTTTATTGTTCAAAATTTCGTTTTAATTGTCTTTATTGCACTAGGATCTGGAAGAGTTGAAGTGAGGGATTAGCCAATGAAACAGTGTGTTACAGCGAGTTCTTGTTGTGCTGTGCCAAGATTTGTGAAATGAAATTAAATGGGGTTTAACGTCCTACTCCTAAACTGGGCTAATGAAGACGGGCATACGCCATAGAGTGTGCTATGAGGGAAATTTTGCCCGGTCAGCGGCGCTATGGCCTACTCTTATATCGAATTCCAACTGCCAAGGGATCTTTTACGTGCAGGCCAATGTATACACGTGACCTCGGTTTATCGTCCCATCCGAACGACTAGACAGCTGTCCTTGTCAGGCCCTCCGTCCTGCATCACTGGCCTGGATTTGTGGGTAAACCACTAGAAACATTAACGCTAATTGATTAATCAATGTCTGACGACATAGGGTCAAAAGCCGTTCATACGACCTTCCAGTACAACCGGTTAGATCTGCTTGGATCCTTGTCCACAATATGGTCACAATTGTTTGAATTGTGATTTCTCCTGAATTTCAAGATTGCACTGATACCTTATTTGAGCATAGATCTACTATAAGGCAGGATTAATCTATCAAATTTAAACAACTTACTTTTTTGCTGGCACTGTTTTCTGTAGATTCCATAATTTTAAAGTATGATCTTCCGATCCTGTAATTAACACCGGTTCTACAGGATGGAAGGCCAACGCCCTCACACCATCAAAATGGCTTCGTAAAGTATATTTGGCATTCCAGGTTTTCCTGAAGACTTCTTTAGGTGCAGCAATCTATAGAGGGAGAGAGAGATGGGTTTAATGTCCACTCGATACAAACTAGGTCATTTTGGGACTAACATATGATTTAATTTTATTTCAATAATTCGCTTGCCTGTAGACGTCTTTAGCAGTGGGAGGAAACCGGAGGACCCTGAGAAAACCCACGAGGATGGACAGGCGACCCTTCTCCTTGTCACGTTCAACTGCGGATTCGAAACCACGTCAGCTGACTCAATGACAGGCCATATGATACAGCGCGCACGTTCTAACCATACAGCCATCCAACCCCCCAGCAATCTATAGAGAAACAAATTAAATGAATTAAATTAGTGTTTTGACTCCACTTGTCGTTATATTGTAGGCCTACATGGAAAGTTGTAAGTATAAACTACAACTATGTGAAAGGAGAGAGAAATGGGGTTAAAGTTTGACTCGACACAAACTAGGTCATTTTGGGACTAAAATATGGTTTTAATTTTATTTCAATAATTCGCTTGCGCATAGAGGTCTTTAGCAGTGAGAGGAAACCGGGGGACCAGGAGAAAACCCACGAGGTAGAACAGGCGACCCTTCTCCTTGTCACGTTCAACCGGGGATTCGAAACCACATCAGCTGACTCAATGACAGGCCGTATGATACAGCGCGCACGTGCTAACCATTCGGCCATCCAACCCCCCAGCAATCTATAGAGAAACAAATTAAAATAGTGTTTTGACTCCACGTGTCGTTATATAGTAGGCCTACATGGAAAGTTGTAAGTATAAACTACAACTATATGAAAGGAGAGAGAGAGAAATGGGTTTTAACGCCCAATCGACACAAACTAGGTCATTTCGGGACTAAAATATGGTTTTAATTTTATTTCAATAATTCGCTTGCGCGTAGGTCTTTAGCAGTGAGAGGAAACATGAGGACAACGAGAAAACCCACGAGATTGGACAGGTGACCCTACTACATGTACAACTGGGGATTCGACTATGTGAAAGGGCAGGACCAAACTATATGTATTGCCTACATTTGACACCCCAAAAATTCATTGAGACCCAATGTAGGCCTACTACATGTTGATTATTAGACAAAACTTGATGTCTCAAATAGTTTCTTATTGTCCATGGTTGAGGATGGAAGAACATTGTCTAGTTGTTATGAAGTTACAAGTATATATTGGGATGCACATAAAGAAACTTGACGGTTGGAATTTGATAAACAGTAGGCAGATAACCATTTAATTTAATATTTGAATACATAGTAAATGCCTGTAGCGTTTGATCAGTACCCACACCCTTATACTTGCACTACATGGTGTACGTACAGTAAGCCCATATTCATTTCATTTTAGCTGCCCGAGATTGGCCAGAGATACTTACATCATAGCATAATGGATCCGATTCGTTAGTGACAGTTAATCCGGCTAAATCTCCTAATCCTAGCGCCGCATCTAATGCATCTTCATCTGATCCGGCCACACCGCCTAAAATAGGTTTTCTCGAGTTTGACATGGAGAATTGTATAGAATTATTTCCTTGCACAGCTGTTAAAATGAAATTGAATATAAAATTATTATTTTTCTTTCTTTTTTATAAAAAAAACAAGCCATACAAATTACAAAGACTAACTTTAGACTTTTCACATGGTTGACAAATCTCAATCTTATCTTTACTTTATAACTAGAAACTGTACAATCTTTATGTATCAAAAATAATATCCAACATGTTAAAAGTTCTTTCAAATCTTGCATCTTGGGAGCCACAGTGTCTTGCTAGGTAATCAAACAGTATCCTAGTTACGTAGGGTCAGGCAAGGAAAAATGTTGAGTCATTCGGATGTAAATTGCTGTCCCTTGTATATAGCTTGCAATTGGAACTCGAAATAAGAGTAGGCTGTAACCCAGTTGTCGGGGGAATTTTCCGTCAGCTCATTGCATAGCATAAATACAATCTAGATTAGCCAGCTTAGTGGGGGCATATAGAAAGAGATCTGCATAACTTTTTTCCGATTTCAGTGTGAAAATTATTTGTGAGAAGTACATACATGGCTCTTAATATAAACATCAACAAATTGTTCTTTCAACAAAAAACAGATTAATTTATAGATTTTAGAATACAAGAAAAGATTGTGATTTGTCACCCATGAGATGAACCCAGTAAGAGGTTTATACCCAGTCACAGGCACTATACAACTTTGTTAACATGTAGAACAGTGCTGTTTTTAGCAGGACTTTCTTAGTTAACAAATCTACACAATACCTAAGTTGTAGTGAGGTGTACAGAAATATAGGCCTATTGGCAAGTTATAGAAAAATCTGGATGGTAGAAAAGCATGATATAATATCGGGCGACAATGTGCTCATTTTCTTTGACATTATTTGTAGAGAAATGAAGCTTTATAGCCAACAGATGAAGACTCAACAATTGGCAGTGTTTCTTATTTTCCAATCTGAAATAAAGTTTTCATGATGCACAATTTTAACATTAAAATTAAATGTGTGAAAATTTGAAAAGAAAGTGATCTCATATTTGAAACTGCCAGAAACAATGTCTGCCTAGACTGTCTCGAACCACTAATAACAGAACTAGCATATTGTCATTAATGAGTTCACAGCTATTCACGTAAGTTGAGGTGTTTGAGGCGCTGCAGGGAGTACAAGCTTCAGTAGACCAGGTACTAATGAGTTAAGTTTCTAAAATTTAAGGCCAAGGGGCCTGATTCACCAAAAATCATAACATTTTAAGAATGCATCCTTTTCATTGGCTACGATTCAAAATCTCAACCGATGAAAAATCTGCATTCTTAAAATGCTTTGGTTCAGGTATAAACCCTCAGCATGAATAGAGCAAGCCAAGTTTTAGCTTTTGTTATGCAAGACAAAACGTTCTATAAGCAGAAGGAAGTGGGATTACAGTAAGTATCATGTGAACAACTGGATACATATACACAACATACATCAGTTTACACATATTTTGTTCTTTAAAAATCACTAAATCTTGTAAAATAGTCAATATTTTTTTGTCTATTGTCTATCTTTGCTTGTTAGTTGAATGCATGACATTGATCAAATGACATAGTAACAAATGTTGAATACTATCAATATTTACAGGTATTCACTACTGAAAAAATAGGATGGGATTGGAACTGATATATAGAGCAAGACAGGTTCCTGAAAGGTATTGCCTTGTCTTCTGTAGATATTCTACATGTATATGTTCATATAGCAGAATAAAGGGAGATAGAGAGAGGGGGGAGGGAGGGAGGGAGGGAGAGAGAGAGATAGATGGGGTTTAACATCCACTCGACACAAACTGCGTCATTTCGGGACTAACATGTGGTCCAATTTTATTTCAATAATTCGCTTGCGCGTAGGCGTCTTTAGCAGTGGGAGGTAATCGGAGGACCCGGAAAAAAAACATGAGGTTGGACAGGCGACCCTACTCCTTGTCACGTACAACCGGAGAATCGAAACCACGCCAGTTGACTCAATGACAGACCTTATAATGCAGAGCGCACGCACTAACCATTCGTCAAACTAACCCCCTATAATTTAGTTTGATATGATGGTTGCAGACCTTCGATATTTTCTAAAGAACAAAATAAGTGGTAAAATAAATAGCATCATTTATGTTAATATGAAAGTTACAACAAAATGTTCTAGAAGTATAACCTGCTTCAAGTACAACAAATGCCACTACTTAAAGCTATTCCAGCGATGTAAAGGCTAAGTCCTACCAATGGATTGATCCTTTAAGAGAGAAAGAGAGAAATGGGGTTTAACGTCCACTCGACACAAACTAGGTCACTTCGGAACTAACATATGGTACAATTTAATTTTAATAATTTGCTTGTGCGTAGGGGTCTTTAGCAGTGGGAGGGAAGCATAGGACCCGGAGAAAACCCACGAGGTTGGACAGGCGGCCCTAATCCTCGTCATGTACAACGGGGGAATCGAAACCGTGCCGAATGACACAATGACAGACCTCATGATTCGACGCGCACTCGCTAACCATTTGGCCATCCAAAACCCCTTAATCATATAAGAGGAATTCTTGTAGGTTATTATTCTCGGTTTCAACCCCTTGAGTTCAACGTCATTCCTTTTAAGTAATGTGTCAAAGGACAAATCTTACATAAATAGGACATTTCTATACTCTGGAATTTATTTACGACTCGGCGGTAAACAATGTTTTACGATTAAACACTGACAAGGGACTACACAAGAAATAAATTTGGTTAATAAACCCCATAAATTTCAATCTAAAATGGGTTATTGTTTTAATTGTACAGATAAATATTGTAACTTTCATAAAATAATAATATTTCATAAATATATACAAATTCATGCAAATATTGTGATCAGGGCCTGTGATCTTGATAACAAATTAAATTGGAAATTTTATATGCTCCAAAAAAAGTTTTTAGTAGCACAATCTATGTTATCAAGATCATGACTCCATCTATTTTGGCCAACATAAAAAAAAAATAAACAAACCAAAAATAAAAACAAACTCAAAATAATAAACATGCGAAAAGCATTCCAACATACACTAAGAAAGGTTCTGGGTTTTGGTCGTTGATGAAGATAAGTTTGAATTTATCAATACAGATGGTGGGATACGTATAGTTTAGTGTTTTTATTTTTATTTTATTTTAACTATTTTGTAGATACACTTAACTTTAGAAACTGTTCTTATTTCATTCAATCTGATTACAATACAGAAATGTCTGCCTTCAATAAACAGTTCAATATGAATCACATTCACAGCTGAACACGTCCGTTTTTAATTTTCAGACAATTTTATAAGTTGGTTAAAAATTCTGAAATATTTTTGACAGAAATCGAAAGTTTATTGTTCCTAACTTTTTAAAATTCTGAAATGAAATATATTTGACAGAAATTAAAAGTTTGTTGTTTCCAACTTTTTAAAATTCTGAAACATAAAGAGAAATTGAAAGATCAAGGAAATCCAATCAGAGCAAAAAATCAATAGATAGCCATTTTAGTTTTCTTTGCTTTATTAAATAAAGATAAAAAAAATTTGATAAAGAATTACTGCAGCCCAAAATTTATGATGACGTCACTATGGTTACATGACAGTTGGGAAGCAGTGGGATTTCATCACAATTTAGAACCCCAACAGTATACTGAGGAACTCACATTTCAAACAAAATACGAAGTTAAGGCTAACTTTTTCTATTGTCAGCTTGCTTCAAGTTTAAGTGTATCTACAATCGTAACGAGAAAATCTGTGTGTATGTTTGTTAAATTTGGTTGTTTACAATTTATGGAGGCCAAATAACTGTTTCTGTATTATTATATCCTACCAATTTCATCGGGTTCGGAAGAAGGAATGTTCGTTGAACGCGGTGAGTTGTTTGGACTGGATGAAGGACTCTCGTCATCTGAACTAAGATTTGCCAACATTGCCTGCAGTGATGATCGTGATGGTCCTAAATAACGTACATTAGAATTATTACGTCCCTTCATCAAGTAATGTACATTAGAATTATTACCTCCCCTGCTTCAAGTATCGTACATTAGAATTATTAATTTATTACCTCCCCTTCTTCAAGTAAAGTACATTATAATTATAAACTCCACTTCTTCAAATAACGTACATTAGAATTATTAACTCCCCTTCTTTAATTAACGTACATTAGAATTATTATCTCCGGTTCTTCAAATAACGTACATTAGAATTATTATCTCCCCTTCTTTAATTAACGTACATTAGAATTATTATCTCCCTTCTTCAAGTAACATACATTAGAATTATAACCTCCCTCCTTCAAGTATCGTACAATAGAATTATTATCTCCCACGTACATTAGAATTATTATCTCCCTTCATCAAGTACCGTACATTTGAATTATTACCTCCCCTTCTTCAAGTAACGTACATAAGAATTATAACCTACCCTTCCTTAACCTCTCCTTCTTCAAGTAACATGTACATTAGAATTATTAACCACCCTTATATACCCCCCCCCCCTTCTTCAAGTAACGTGCATTAGAATAATATCTCCCCTTCTTCAAGTAACGTACATTAGAATTATTTTCTCCCACTTCATTTAAATAACATAGTTTTAATAGTTCCCATTAAAAATTAAATTGGTTTCTTCACAGTAGATTTCCAACCCCAAATAATGAATATCCCCACTTGCAAAATCAAAATTAAATACAAATTAGAATTGGAGCCCTACATAATAATTACCTCTATCATAAAATCTAAATTAATTTGTCTTTAATACGTAGATTTTCAACCCATATAATAACTACGATCCACCCCCCCCCCCACCATAAATCTAATTTGTATTTAAACAATAGATATCTTACCCTACATAATACCTACACCCCAAACCCACGTCTCAATCAAATCAAAATCTATTCTGTCACTTCCATTATCCTACATAATAATTACTACTTTGTCGTAAAATCAATTTCTAGCCCAAGATTACCAGAGAATTTTACAATGAAATCAAATGAGATTTAGTTCCTAATATAAAATTTGTGTTGTTAAAGTAGACCCCCCCCTTCTTATGAAAATCAACATTTATTTTTTTTTTTTTTTGCTGCACAGAATTCCCATCCCAATTTCCCCCTTCTCGTAAAATCCCCCCTTCATTAAAACCGACATTTTTTTTTTTATGCTGCACAGAATTCCAACCCCATATAATAATAATTACCCCCTTCTCGTAAAAATTCATTTATAACTGAAAATCATCATAAAATTTTACAATAAAGCATAATATCTGCTTTACATGTAGGTGTCATTCTAATTACTAACTGTGATTTTTTCTAAGTATTATTAATTATTTTTCTCTATCATTACAAGATGGTATTATGTGTCAAACTAACTACCATAGAAGCAACAATTATCATTCCATGAGTAATCATTAATTGATTTTGGCATTTAGCATTCCGAGCCAACAAAATAATTGTTTCATAATTTCTACTCAAGCTTTGATCCATGCAGAAATAAATTTTTACTTTTGTAAATGGTATATTAAAGGTTATTTATATATTTAATAAACAAACACGAGCTGAATATTTATATATAAATAAATTATAAACCAAATTTAGAATCTAGGCAATCCTAACCAGAACATAAAATCCCAGACAAGACCCCGTAATAAAAACCATTAGCATTAAAAAAATAAATTGAAGAAAATAATGAAAGCGCTTAAATTAAAAACTTTTAAACTTAATCCGCATATAAAGAAGACAAAGTTGAATCTTGAATCCGCAAAGTTTCAAGCTGAAAGGACCTTCAGTCAGTGTTGCAATCTTATATCAAAGCGGGTGTCTTTTGGACAAATGTTTGGCTTCAAGTACGATTTTCAAAATTAAATTTTCATGATAGTCTATGATATTCTAAAATGTATCAGATCGTCTATTAACCCTTTAGCGCCTGATATTTACTAAGCTACTTCCCAGAAAAAATTTGTGAAAAGTGACGTTTTCTATGTTGAGTTTTGTTGTGTGTATTCAAAATTAGCGGAAACTACTGCTCTCTAGATTTCCTCTAGCCACATGTAGTATACCGTCCTTAAATAGTTCAAAGCTATGAACAAGAATCTTGGCGGATAGAGGCAGGACTAGGCAGTTTTGTGTTCTGTCCATGTACCGTACCAAAGGGTTAAATTGGCGAATTGTTAATTTTAACAGAAGTTGCTCAAAACTGCCAAAAAGAGCAAACAATAACAATTTCAAGCAAAATAATTGTCTAATATTGCAATTTTCTGTAGGTCACGTCTGACCTAAGAAAAAAACCTCTCCAAATTCTACTGTAGGTCCTTTCTGGCTATAAGTACTGTGAAAGACTGGATAATACTGGCTAATGTTAATGATATAAATTATATCCCTTGGTAGTAGAAACTTACTACTAGTCTTCTTGCCTTTTCTCTCCTGTTTATACTGTTGTTTTAGTTTTGATAGATGACTGTGATTGACCACCCATTCTTCACCTTCACCTTTCTTCTCTATAGAACAAACAGGTGTCCATTAGACGCAGCACATTATCTTGGTGACGTGGCCCACATTTAGCTACAGAGGAGGGGCTTAAGTCTACGAAGTCAATCGCAAATTCTACGCAAAAGTGACAAAGCCATGTCTCAAGCACCCATTGCCTAGCTCAGATATTTTAGATGCTCATTATCTTGGTGACTTGGCCCACGGTTAGCTACGGAGGAGGAGGGGGTTTAAGTTTAGAAGTCAATCACAAATTCTACGCAAAAGTGACAAAGCCATGTCTCTAGCACCAGTTGCCTAGCTCAGCTATTTTAGAGAGAGAGAAAAATGGGGTTTAACGTCCACTCGACACAAACTAGGTCATTTCAGGACTAACATATGGTTTAATTTTATTTCAATAATTCGCGTGCGCGTAGGGATCTTTAGCAGTGGGAGGAAACCGGAGGACCCGGAGAAAACCCACGAGGTTGGACAGGCGACCCTACTCCTTGTCACGTACAACCGGGGATTCAAAACCACGCCAATCGATCAGTTATTTTAGATGAACGGTTAGCTACGGAGGAGGGGGAGGGGCTTTAGTCTTATGATATCAATCACAAATTCTACGCAAAAGTGACAAAGCCATGTCTCAAGCAACCATTGCCTAGTTCAGCTATTTTAGACGCACATTATCTTAGTGACATGACCTGACGTTAGCTACAGAGGGGGCCGACCTCCTAAAATCTACGTAAAAGTGACGGCCATTTCTTCAAGCACCCCTTCTTTAGGTAATCTATTTCCAATGATGCCGTCAAGATCTTCAGACCATGAAGTCAATCAGTCAATCGTTCACCTTCCAAATTCACCCCTCCTCTACATAGCTAAGCTATCTTCGCAGGCGTCGATTACAAGTATGTCAAATGTCTTCAGTCCACGAAGTCAATCGCTCACCCTCCAAATAATACGGAAAGTGACACGGTCATCTGTCGAGTAACCCTACTCCAGCCATACCTTTTTCACAGCTGCTGATTACAAGTGTTTCCTGTTTTTTTTTGTTTTTTTTTTAAAAATTCTTTTAATTCTGGATGATTAAAAATATCAAAAAAAAACCCTGGTTCTTATTTTGTGAGATTTAATCAGATGAAATTTGTTGGCTTCTACGTGAGTGCAAACAGTGACATTAATTTTGAAAGCGGCTCAAAATTTAAATACTACAGTTTAATCTACCAACTAGTGTTGAGAGGGTTGAAGGTCATTAACTGACCTAAATGAAGGTCAAAGATCAAAGGTTAGCTAGTTATTGTCAAGGTGAATGTTATGTGAAATCTGATTGGATGTTTCTAAGCCAATCAGAGGAAAGATTGTAGAACAGGAAAAGTACAATATCACACAGTACAAAATGATGGTTGAAAAATGTGAAACATCAAAAATCTAAACAAAAAATCTAGTTAAAACCAAATGTAAAAGAAACAAAAATGTGTACAACGAACAATCTGAATGAAAATGACTAAATATAGACATTTTTTTTCCCACTTCAGAAATCAAAATACAACGCATATCCGAAACAGATAAAGACAAGTTTTCGTTCATTTTTTTTTCCATCATTATAAATCATGATTTGGTAAGTTGTACATATTTGTTTCTTTTCAACGAAATAAAACAATATCGCAGAATATCAAAAACAAAAAAATCAAAATAAAACGAATATAAAAGACGGGCAAACAATCTCACCCCATGGCATACCGTCACCGTGACTACGAGCCTCACCGGCCCCCTCTCCACTCTCTGATACAAGGAAATCGAACTCCGCTAACGCCTCTTCGGTTTCTGGATCTACATCATCCATACCTGCCATACTCTCATTACCAATAATCTACAAAAACAATGAAATAGGTTACCAGGCAACGAGAAATACCAATAACCTACAATAACATAGGTTACCAGGCAATGAAACATACAACATGCTTTGATGAAAATCTTGCACGGAAAAAACTGTTTCAACCTAATCTCCCTGGAATTCTATCTAATAAGGGTGAACATCAATGTGTTTTTGTTGTCCAAATGACAAGGCACCTATTCCATGCAAGGGCCACTTTCCTACACCACTTACAAATCCTAAGAATCTTTTTCGGCCAATACCCGGATCAAACCCTGTTGGCCCCTGGTCACACTGAGCCACCATGATTAACCTGTTAACTGCGTAGGACGTTATATAACGTCCTGGACAACTGCCACTCACCGTGTGTAGGGCGTAATATAACGCCTTGGAGGTATTTTCCCCAACCTATTCTTCGAACACAATCTCAGGACGTTATATTACGCCTGGTTGAGGAAATCTAATTGAAGGGAGACAACTCTATCTACCATTAGTTTTAATATGGTTTCAGACTACTATAATTTTTTTTCAGGAATAAAAAGGTCCAAAAATGACGTTTTTCGTCAAATTAATTACACAATAGGGGGTAGTTAACGTTTTAAAAACTACACAGTTAACTGGTTAAGACATTGGTTTCCGTTCGCACTTAAGATGCTGTTGTCATAGTAACAATCTGACATCAAGATAGTTTGCAGTAAGGTGCTGTTGTCATAGTAACAATCTAACATCAAGATGTTTGAATGGAAAATTAAATCACAATCAGTCAGACAATTTAAATGTCACGTTACCTTTATTTTGTTTCCCTTTCTTTCCAATCTTTCATCGGATTCGTCATCTGCTGCTCCACCATCCTCGTTCTCATCGCTATAAATAGAAACAACAAAACATTGCTGTACAAAAACTAAAGGTGTGCTGGGACAGCAGTAAATCTGTGAATCTTCAGAGTGGCATGTATTCTTGCCTCTTTAAAGTAGCTAAGTCTCTAACTCAATATCATCCAAAATCTTACACATTGAAAACACGAATTATTTGTCAATTTAAATCAACATTGATGTTGTGATCTTACAGGGAAAAGATGGGCTTCTGACATCCAATAATTAAGACAAAATAACCATTTTACCGTTGGTACACGAATCGTGTACCATTTTTAACAAGGGACACGTAGAAAGAGGCTAGATATATTCCACAAGTCATGTCGAATGGTGACGTCATATTCTTATCTGGAGAGCATGCGCAATAAATACTATCAGTATAGAGTGGAATAACCAGACACTAGAGATTGCCATTGGATTGAGACTTCTGGCATATTTCGCGGAACATAACTGATTAGAAATTGCAGTAAAAACAGAAACAATTGAATGTAAATCAGTTTATATACATTCACATTACATTATTATATGCGTTGTGACCCATTTGTGTCAATTTCTAGATCCAAAATATTAGCGATTTAGCTCCTTTAAATTGACAGATTTTTAGTAAATATTTTGTTATTTGGTTTAGTAAACAGCACTGACCCCATGGTTACGCTACCACCCCATGAAGCCCAATATATGCCCTTAGTCAAACTCTAGCATATAACGATGAAGTAAACGTTTTTTTTTCTCAACATAAAACTATGACCTGTACATCCTAAGAAACTTTTATCAACCAACACAGGGAGAGAACTCGGAACCGCTTGGTTAGTGCGGAAAGTCTTACATATTCAGCCACTGCAGCTCTAGGGAACCCAACAGACAGTACAACTAGTAAACCATCTCACCCCAGGCCAATATCTGTGTAACATATATCACTGTAACCCGGGTATCATTTAATCTTGTGTATCTAGCACTAATTTCTTTCACATTCATTTAATATCAAATCTTTGTTTAAAAATCATAAAAAAATCATTTAAAATCACCCCAAATCATCTAATTTGTACTTGTGTCCAGTTTAAAGCTGACCATTCAATTTTGATAATGAGTGTCCAATTTACAAGTGTTTAATTTCTTTACCACTGTTAAAAAATTAATCAATATTCATTAATTACCAATTGGGTTGTCTATTTTTTAAAAGTGGTCAAGAAATTAAACACTTGTAAATTGGACACTCATTATCAAAATTAATCAGTCAACTTTAAACTGGACACAAGTACAAATTAGATGATTTGGGGTGATTTTAAATGATTTTTAAACAAAGATTTGATATTGAACGAATGTGAAAGAAATAAGTGCTGCTAGATACACAAGATTAAATCATACCCTTGATAGCATCTCCCCAGCCTAATATTTTTTTAACTTGTATGTACCTAAGATTGTCGTCTTCATCGTCCACCACATGCTCCGGCTGCAGAAAATCAAACGTTGTCATAACAGCATCTTCAGTATCTATTAAAGCTCCTTCTATTTGGTTCTTTTTACCCGAGCTTCTACTGAATAATAAAATAAACTTCTGGTTTAGAATGGGTGTATTTAACATGATCTGGAACTAGTGTTAGTATGTTTAACATGATCTAGAAATCTGAAACAAGCATCAGTCTAAAATTTGTTCAATTTTCTCTACGGAAGACATAAACAAGCCAACATCACATAATTATAATACTTGCTGAATTTCCTACCCAAAAGCAAACCTAAAGTTACTAGACCATTCCAGTCAAGAACTCTGGGACTCAATATTTATTGAGAGAAAAGGAGCTAAACATCCACTCGACGCAAACTAGGTCATTTTCGGGACTAACATATGATTCAATTTTATCTAAATAACTTGCTTGCGCATAGGGGTCTTTAACAGTGGGAGGAAACCATAGGACCCAGAGAAAACCCACAGACAACCCTATCCCTTGTCATCATGTACAAGCAGGAAATTGAAACCACTCCACTTAACTCAATGACAGACCTTGTGATTTCAAGCGCTCGCACCGATCCATTTGGTCACATTGCTAAATAAAGGTATCCCAGCTGTAGAAGATTTCAACATTGTTTACCTTTTGGTGATTTCGTTTCTATTTGTAAGTTGAGGTTCTCCATTAACTAAACCTGATTGGATACCATCTGGTTCATCACCAGAATGAGGCTGTATCCCTAGTAACGACCTTACACGTGCCGATCGTACATCTATTATTGTGTCTGTGTAGCCTATTTCTTGTAAATACCTGAAAATAACAACGAAAAAAATTATGTAAAGAATTTTGGTTTCACAATTTACATACAGATGCAAAACAAAACCAAGGAACTGCAAGAAATATTTTTCAAATTTATTTTTCTAAATGTGGGTCAATGAACTACGGCGCATTTTTGAGCTGGAACTTAGTACGATAGTATATTGACGCTGGAACGATAGTTTATCGACAAATTGAACCAGTCAGCTTATTTAAAGGCTCAATACCACTCTTGTTGTAACTGAATAATATGTCCCAATCTTTATTCTGGTCAACAAATTGTACTATTTTACAATATTCCAATTAATTGATGATACAAATTTCATCTTAACACACCTAATTTAAAAAATTGGAAAAATTCAACTAAATGATTTGAAAAGCCTGACGTAAATCTGTTCAAATGTGACTTGGATTTAAAAATATTTTTGAACCCTCTGGACAAGTAAAATAGGATTTAATGGATAATTTACACAAGAGGTAGGACACATCTAGTACTTAGAATAAGGCTATTTTTTTATTTTCTGGAGCTATCAAGCAGGCAAGAGTGTTATTGTCCCTTTAATACGATTGAGTTCGGAGCTGGAACTTGTAGCTAATAATAAACGGGTTATGTGCAGTTGGGAGCTGAAACGTACAGTGATATAATTTATTAACAGGTTGCCTGTGATATCATCCTTGATTGAAGCTGATTTTACGCCCTAGAAATGAACTAATGCACAATTGGGAGAGAGAGAAATGGGGTTTAATTTCCACTCGACACAAACTAGGTCATTTTGAAATTAACACATAGTTGAATTTTATTTCAATAATTTGCTTTTGCGTAGGGTTCTTTAGAAGTGGGAGGAAACTGGAGGACCCAGAGAAACCCCACATGTTGGATAGACGGTCCTACTCCTTGTCACATACGAGCTGGGAATTAGAAACCATGACACTTGACTCCATCACAGACCTTATGATATAACGTGCACCATTTAAACCATTCGGCCACCGAACTCCCCTGGTGCAACTGGGAGCCAGAACTTAGCATGAGAGAATAATACATACTGTCTGAGTAACTGTCTGCCTTGACGCCATGATGTGTTTATATTGGATGTAGAGGAAGTGGTTACTGACGTATCGTTACCGTCCACATCATCTGGAAAACAAAGACATACAAATATATCATCAAAAGAGAGAGAAATGGGGTTTAACGTATACTCAACATAAAATAGGTTATTTCGGAACTAACATATCGTTCAATTTTATTTCAATAATTCGCTTGCGCGTAGGGGTCTTTAGCAGTGGGAGGAAACCAGAGGACCTGGAGAACACCCACGAGATTGGACAGGTGATCTTACTCCTTGTCACGTACAACTGGGGAATTGAAACCACTCTAGTTGACTCAATGACAGACCTTATGATACAGTGCGCACGCGCTAACCATTCGGCCATCCAACCCCACTTTAGAACTAGAAGCCCACATCTAAAATTTATCCAATCTGATTAAAATACAGATCTATATTTTGTGTTTTTTTTATACTTACCAGTTGTAGTGAAAGGACGCGTCAGAGGTCATATGAGCGGCTTTTGACCATATGACGTTAGACATTAGATCAACCAATCAGAGTCGATTTTTCTAGGTGGGTTACCCACAGTACGGTGCGTGTACCTCACGTCAAAACCTCGCGTTGTAACAGACAATTTCATTGGCTAATCCCTCACATCAATCAGAACGCGGGTTATATAACAACTCTTCCGGATCCTAGTGTAGTAAAGACACATGTATACGTACATTATGCTGACAAAGATGCACTGACAGTTACAATATTAAACTAAAAATCTAACTGAAATTACCTTCATTTTTCTTATCAAATACAGGAGGTTTTAAATCTTCTGGGTTTAAATCTGTTCCGTATTTTAACTTATGATATTTCCCTCTACAAAAAATAAATATTAACGAAATTAATCACAAATAATACAACATGTCGTAAGTGCCCTATCGATAAGTGAGGCAGACTGAAGCCTAGGGTCTCAATATCTACATGTAGAGGGCTATCAGCCAACACTGTAACCCGGGTATCATTTAATCTTGTGCATCTAGAACCCAATTTCTTTCACATTCCTTAAATATCAAATCTGTGTTTAAAAATCGTTTAAAATCACCCAAAAATCATCTAATTTGTACTTCACTTGTGTCCAGTTTAAAAGTGACTGATTCATTTTGTTAATGAGTGTCGAATTCACAGGTATTTAATTTTCTTACCACTGTTCAAAAATGAATCATTATAGTAACATCAATAATCAATTGGGTTGGGTTTTTTTTAAGAGTGATCAAGAAATTAAACTCTTGTAAATTGGACACTCATTATCAAAATTGAATGGTCAGCTTTAATCTGGACACGAGTACAAATTAGATGTTTTTTTGGTGATTTTAAACAATTTTTACGAATTTTTAATCAAAGATTTGAAATTGAATGAATGTGAAAGAAATTACATGTAGTGCTAAATACACAAGATTAAATGATACCTGGGTTACAGTGCAAGGTATATAATATTGTCATAGTCCAAACCATGACAATTTGATTGACTCAATGATCGAATATTTCAAGTACTTTCTTGCGCTCAACCTTCTTTAGCAGAGAACATAGAGCAAAGTCACAGGGTTAAGAAAGTGCACTGACTTGACCACAACGACTTTACTCAATAGACCTCACCCACCCAAACACCCCAGAAAAATACAGAGGAGTCACATCAGGATATCAATGCAAACCACATCAGGGCATCAATGTAAACCCCATCAGGAATCAATGCAAACCACATCAGGGCATCAATGTAAACCACATCAGGATATCAATGCAAACCACATCAGGGCATCAATGTAAACCAGATCAGGATATCAATGCAAACCACATCAGGATATCAAATCTTTATTGTCATGTCTCGTGTTATAATGATTCAAGCATGGTTAAATGGACAATCAACCCTCTCTAAAAAACGAAACAGGAAGTGCTTATCTCCCAAATGAATATTTAAGTTTTATTGTCGCATATTTTGTATATCTTGATTACAAATTTCTGACTCTAGATAATGATGTCACCAAGTACAGTACAGATACGTGACATTTTAAATATCAATCAAGTTTTATTCTAGGTTTTAATACCACGCTGCATCAAATTTCTCAAATAAATATGACGTCTATTGTTCTGTATCAATCGGACTAATGAAAACTGGTATAATATTCCGTGATGTGTGATATAACGGCTATTTTTGCCAGACAGTGACACTATGCCCTACTCTTTTACTGAATCAGGCTTGTTTTTTTATGTGTATTAGTACATAGAACCTCTTTTTTTTATGTGTAGATGTACATAGGACCTTGTTATTTTTTCTTCATCTGAATGACTAGACACTGCATCACTGACATGGGAAACCACTATAGAGAATCCTGACAGAAAGAGAGAGAGAGGGAGAGAGAGAGAGGGGGTGGGGGGGATTTAATGTCCACTCGACACAAACTATGTCATTTCAGGACTAACATATGTTTAATTTTATTTCAATAATTTGCTTGCGCGTAGCAGTCGTCAGCAGTGGGAGAAAACCAGAGGACCTGGAGAAAACCCACGAGTATGGACAGGCAACACCCTATTCCTTGTCACATACAAAGGGAATTGAAACCACATCAGTTGACTCAATGACAGACCTTACGATATAACGCACACACACTAAGCATTCGATCCACGCCCCCCACCCCTATACATCGGCCTAGTGAGCCAGTGCCTTATGCAATGAGCTACCGTTACTCAGCATCAAGTTCTTTATGTACAATGTAATATGAGTGTTTACATTTATCGTGATGTAAAACACACAACTGTGTATATATACTGTACATTTTCACCCATTTTTTTATATCTATATAATATGTATGTGTTTGCCATTTTAACTACATGTATGTATATACACCCTTTTTGTATTAATAATATATATGTATATACAAATTATTTAGGGAGAGGGGTTTTACATAGGCTAAGCCTGTTCCCCAATCCCATTCAGTCAACCTGAATAAAAATATGGTTTAAAAAAAAAACAAACCACACAACGGTACAAATAGAACTTGTCAGACGCAGTAATTTAAAAACAATTAAATTTCACAATATGATACTGGATACACGCATGGGAGTAATCCGAGGCTAACTTATTATTTTTATATTATTTATCATTTTTAATATACAAACCTTTCTTGTTTCAATGCAAACTCTAACATTTTAATTCTTCTAACTAAATCCTGTTTTAAATTCTCTTGTCCTTTTCTTTCCCCTTGAAGAAACGCAATCTTAGCCTGAAAAACACAAACCAATTATACAATAAAAATACTTCCCCTTGTATATGAATACATTGTACATTTTAAAAAAAGTTAAGTTTTACTCAATAGATCAACAAAATATTCTTTATCTACATTTCATTTTCATTTACCAATATCAGTACGCAACAAACAGTCATGATCTTAAAAATATAACCCAACAGTCATGCTCTTAAAAACATAACCCAACAGTCATGCTCTTAAAAACATAACCCAACGGTCATGCTCCTAAACAACAGTCATGATCCTAAAAACATAACCCAATAGTCATGCTCCTAAAAACATAACCCAACAGTCATGATCCTAAAAACATAACCCAAGTCATGATCCTAAAAACAGAACCCAACATAACCATGATTCTAAAGACATAACCCAACGGTCATGATCCTAAAAACATAACCCAACAGTCATGCTCTTAAAAACATAACCCAACAGTCATGCTCCTAAACAACAGTCATTCTCCTAAAAACATAACCCAACAGTCATGATCCTAAAAACATAACCAAAGTCATGATCCTAAAAACAGAACCCAACATAACCATGATCCTAAAAACATAACCCACAGTCATGATCCTAAAAACAGAACCCAATGGTCATGATCCTAAAAACTGAATTCAACAGAACCATGATCAAGACATAACCCATGATTTAAAAAAAAAAAACAACATACATTGTAACCATGATACAGGTATCAGAGCAGAAACATTTAGTAACAAATGTTGCAGCATTTTTAACAACACATACATGTATTCCCAGTAAAGTGTCGCCAAAACGTAACCAAAGAAAGAATGAGAAGACATGTGGGTAATATACATTTTACATCATACAATGATCAATCTCTATAAATAACTTGAGATATTTCACAACTTCATTTTTTTGAATGAAAAATAAAAATGAACTGGTCTCATTTGATTTTGAAGAAAAGGATTATGGAACTGACAGGTGCAGATTTGGAAATGAAATTGGGTTTAGTTACCATCCTACTTTTCTGCATCAGTGGGATAATGAGAGAGAGAGAGAGAGAGAGAGAGAGAGAGAGTTTAATGTCCACTCAACACAAAGTAGTTGTGTCATTTCGGGATTAACATGTGGTTCAATTTTATTTCAACAATTTGCGATCCTACTCCTTGTCGCATACAACGAGGGAATCAAAACCACACCAGTTGACTCAATGACAGAGCTTATGATACAACGCACACACATTAACCATCGAAGACGCTACTGGCATATAATACCACGCAGTGAGATAGGAGTAGGTTTTCCCAACAGCGGCACTTCGGAACCTTACTCCCAGTTGCAGATTAGATCAACACACAACAACAATTAATTGCATTTTCAACAACACAGAGGACATAGACTTGTAAAAATGTCACATGATTGATATCCGACTGCTGGGTCGTAATATATAATGTACAAATAAGACAAAAATGTTTAATGATGCTCGTAACTTCATGCATTTATGTGAGAAATCTACAATCTAATTTTTATGTGTAGAAATTTACATGTATGAAACTACGACCTCTGAAGACAAGTGTTACTGAATAAAGATGTTATCAATGTAAGTCAAGCAAAGCCCCAAGAACAAAACTATATCTTTTCTTAGGGTATTTCACCTTTAAAGTGACCTGGTGCCTACAGACATGAAAAATAATTATCAACACAAGAGATACACAGTAATTTGTCAAACTTCTTTTGTCTTCGGGCACAAGGACATTGTGTTCATAAATTAACAATACAAAGATAGTGATGAGATGTTGTGTAAAGTTTTGCTTGCCATGTTTCACGCCAGCTCAGACTGTGCAATGTGCAATTTTATATCAATTATTCAAACTAGGTTTTTTTCAGGATAAAATAATGATGTAATGTCTTTTTCCAACACCTTTATCTACAAAATACTGGTCCGACACAAAGTTCAAAATATCCAGTACTAGTTGATTACTAGTGTCTGATATTATGCCTGGTGCTAGTTGATTAGTCTGGTACTAGTTGATTAGTGTCTGTTATGTCCAGTACTAGTTGATTAGTGTCTGATATTATGTCTGGTACTACATGTAGTTGATTAGTGTTGATTAATGTATGATATTATGTGTGGTACTAGTTGATTAGTGTCTGATATTATGTCTGGTATTAGTTAATTAGTGACTGTTATTATGTCTGGTACTAGTTGATTAGTGTCTGATATTATGTCTGGTATTAGTTAATTAGTGACTGTTATTATGTCTGGTGCTAGTTGATTAGTGTCTGTTATTATGTCTGGTACTAGTTGATTAGTGTCTGATATTATGTCCGGTACTAGTTGATTAGTGTCTGGTGGCTGAGAATTAAAAGAATTAATGATAACATGGACAATCGAAGCTTAGGCTTGATTGTCAAGTATACATGTACATGTAGTTGCTATGGTAATAAACGATCTAAGCTTCATCTTAAAACAGTCATAATTTCACCCAGAATAAAGTAATTTGAATGCAATGTTCATTCATTTTTCATTATCTATTTTTGATCTATTATAAAAAAGGGGTTAATTCTTTATCTAAATCTTACATTAATACATCTTTATTTTATGACGAAAAAGCAATTCGAGGATATTTTGAGGTGGACAAAACCTTGAAAACTTAGATATTATCTGACAAATACACAACAGATATCTGCAACTTTAAAGGAGCTAAATCACTAATATTCTGGATCTAGAAACTGACACAAATGGGTCTCAAACTTAACGCATACAATATGAATGTATATAAAATGTATATAAACTGATTTACATTCAATAGCTTTCATTTTTACTCTAATTTCAAATCTGTTATGTTCTTCAAAATACGCCAGAAGGCTCAATCAAATGGCAATCTCCAGCGTCTATTCCAGTCTACACCTATAGTATTTATTGTGCATGCTCTCAAGATAAGACTATCACGTCACAGTTTGACGTGACTTGTGGAATATGTCTAGGCTTGTTCTTCATTACAAATGACGCTGAACCGCATTATAGTACACAATTCGTGTAACAACGGTAAAATGTATATTTTTGTCTTAAATACTGGATATCAGAAGGTAAGATCACAACAACAACGTTGATTTAAATTGACAAATAATTTGTGTTTTCAAAGTGGAAGACTTTGGATGATAATGAGTTAGAGACCTAGCTACTTTAAAGTAGATTTACATTATTTCCAACTTTAAAGTAAAAGGCTACAAAAATAACATTAGATCAGTGTTGGTACAGTAAGGTTGTTTTGTTTTTTTATCAAATTTAAAGTAAAAGGCTACAAAAATAACAAGCGATCACTCTGTAGAAATATCGGCAAGGGTTTAGTCAAGTTTGTTGACATTACAAACAATTCAAACTGAATCAACTCTCGTCGACGTCGAGCAGTAATCCAAGATCAAAGATACCAAAATAAATACAGCAGAAGTCTTTTCATTCTGTGCACAATATTTACTGCACATGAGCCAATTTTCCGTAAAAAAATATCCACTTTTGACTTTACATGCTTGTATTAATTGTATAATCCGTATTTAACAGCCGTAGCGGGATTAAACTATTTAAGCAAACATCCGGAAAAAAAATTATGTAACAGCTGAATCTACTGTATACCTTCAAACAGTAATGTCTTTGGCCAGAATAATGCAATTTGAATGTAGTTTTCAATATTTTCATTATTAATCTATTTTGGAACTATTATAGCAAGAATGATCATCTCTTGATCTAAATCTTAAATACCGGTACATGTAAGGCATCTTTAAAGAACTGTTTTTACTGGGATTAGATTACAAGAGAAAATAACTTAGTTGCTTGAAATGAAATTGGAGTTAATCTTGGATTAGGTCTAAATATTAAGGTCACCTGCAGATTCCGACAAGGTCACAAGATGTAAACAAGGCTAGCACTAATCCATAATCCTTGGAAACAATCACATGCCCTAACCCTGTTTACATCTTGTGACCTTGACAAACTCTGCAGGTGGCTTTAATTAGATTTGACTGTTTATCTAGCCTTGAAACAAGGCACATGTTACAGACATTTGTCAACCACAATCATTCTTGCATATGCCATTTTGTCGACAACAATCATTCTTGCGGATGCCATTTTGTCGACCACAATCACTCTGGTGTATGCCAATTTGTCAAAATTTAGCAGTGGGAGGAAACCGGAGGACCTGAAAAATACCCCTTATCACGTACAACCAGGGAATCGAAACCACGCCTGTTGACTCAATGACAGACCTTATGATACAGCGTACACGTCATCTACCCCCCCCCACCTTAATATGATTTAATGAAAACCTGAATTTAAATATTGTTATTAAATTAAAACCAGCGTGACAGTCTGATTCTAATCAGCCAACAGTTTCTAAAGGTTACATTACACGATAACAACAGAATATAGAATTAATTGGCAAACCTCCAAAAAATGTAAAATATACATACATTTGTACATGTATATGTTTTAATTTTCAAATCGTTCTGGTTGGGAGATTTCCCTATGTTACAGATTTATTTTTGGAAATTAATTAAATTCAAAATAAGAAAACAATCAGGGACTCCCTCAAATGAGACAGGTAAAATTAATAACATTTAAAGGTCACTGGAAAAGCTTCAAATTTTTTTTCAAATAATGCAAGTAATTATGTCAACATATCCTTTCCATAAGTATAACACGAACCTGATGCCAATATTATCTGCAACAGGTAAATTTAATGTTAGTAATTTCCGTCATTCTCCGTGACTAGTCGTAACTTTCTGTCAATAAACAATCGTGACGTCATATGGAAAGGCTATGTTGACATAATTACTTTCATTATTTAAAAAATATGTTGACATACTTGCATTAATTAAAAAATTTATGAAGGTTTTCTAGTGACCTTTAACTTTTAGAATTTCTAAATTAATTTGCATATTCAACAATTTGTATGATTAAACACTGATTTATGGCGGCACAATTATTCTAGCTTGCGTAGAATTATTGTCGATTTAAAATCATCAAGGTGCAATTATTGTAACAGCTGATGAACACAGAACAAGTAGAGAGGCTTCGTTTTATGTAAAAAAAAACGTATGGTTTTCTCATTACAATTCAAACTAAAAACAACAGGTGTGAGATTATTGGAACAAGTGGGTTAAAATATTACTGCTAATACTAATATTATATTTAAAGTAGGTAAGTCTCTAACTCAATATCATCCAAAGTCTCCGACATTAAAAAAACGTATTTTTTGTCAATTTAAATCAACACTGATGTTGGGATCTTACTGGGAAAAGATGGGGTTATGATATTCATTATTTAAGACAAAATAACCATTTTATCATTGGTACACGAATCATGTACCATAATGTGTTTCAAGGCCCATTTTTAACAAGGGACTCGAAGAACGAGGCTAGATATATACCATAAGTCATGTCAAACGGTCTGCGCTATTTGTAACATGGGATTGGGAGAACAAGGACAGGCATATTCCACAAGTCATGTCAAACGGTGGCGCCATATTCTTATCTGGAGAGCATGAGCAATAAATACTTTTGGTGTAGACTGGAAAAACCAGACGCTAGAGATTACCATTCAATTGAGACTCCTGGCGTATTTCGCCGAACGTGACTGATTTCAAATTAGAGGAAAAACAGAAACGATTGAATGTAAATCAGTTTATACATGTATATACATTCATATTACATTATTGGATGCGTTGCAACCCATTTGTGTCAATTTCTAGGTCCCAAATATTAGCGAATTAGCTCCTTTAAAATCTTTCTCTTCTTGGAATCTTGTTATTACTACTGTTGTACATGTATAATATATCTCTATAATTGTAACTTTGTAACTTAGCAAAGTAAACCTGTATGTCAAAGGGGAGCTATATAGATTTTTGTAATAATATTTTCTAGTAGTCCATTGATTTTACTATTCTACTATTCTAAATCATTATTCAAATGTCATTTCAATGTGCAATTTAACTGAAATTATCAATATTCGGAACCATGTTGTTAGTGCATTTTGCGATTTCTACAATCAATAAATCCATTGAATCAATATATTTTCCTTTCTGCTTGTTTATTTCTTAATATTAGGTGATTTATTGAATAAATTTTTTCTAAGGAAACAAAAAAAAAAAATGATGAGATTATTACAGCTTTTATTTACTTAAATTAAATTGAATAACAAGGGGGGTTGTATGTCCGAATCGTTAGCATGTGCGCACTGTACCATACGGTCTGTCATTGAGTCAACTAGTGTGGTTTTGATTTCCTGGTTGTACATGACAAGGAGTATGGTTGCCTGTCCAACCTTGTGGGGTTTCTCCGGGTCCTCAGGTTTCCTCCCACTGCTAAAGACCCCTACCTGCAAGCGAATTATTGAAATAAAATGGAACCATGCATGTCCCGAAATGACCTAGTCTGTGTCAACCTAGTTTATGTCCAGTGGAGGTTAAACCCCATCTCTCTCTCCTCTCTCTTGAATAATGAATACTAAGAAATCAGTCTATGAGATTATTATAACAGCTTTGATTTACCTAAATTACCTTGAATAACAAATACTAAGAAATCAGTTTGATAATTTTAAAAAAACTATTTAAATTCGAAAATATTTACATGAGGTCTAGGTCTATTATTTTCATGTCTGAGTTTTATTGCTTGTGATTTTCCTATAGTCTCCATTACATGTGCATGTACCTTGCTGAAATCATTGTTATAAATGTCTTCATGCATGAATAATTGCAATTGTCACCTGAACAATCAATGACAATGTTTATATAATATTTATTGATTAAACAATTAAAGATGGAGGTTGAAGTTGAAAGAGGAACTTGATGAACATGTGTTGACTGTAAAGTGACTAACTCACTGACACTATATGATGCATTATTGTTATGTACATGTAGTTGGTCTATTGTGTGCAGTAGGGTACACATTGTCTATAATGTATTTTCAATAATGTATGGTGAGCATACCTGTTTGGGCATAAAATTTCTGAAATATTTACATGTACGGTATTAGAATCAATGAACAATGACTAAATACAAAAATATATATTCCATACTTTGGTTACAAATTACAATGTGACCTGCAACAGTATTCATTGTTATCTCAATATGTGCAAAAAAATTTAATCATGCATTATGCTAGATTTAAACCAGCCTATTGCAGGTCTTTCTTTATGCCTGAAATGTTATATACTGTATGTATAAACTATTAATTAGACATTTATTAACATGAAAAGACCACAATCAACTTTCAGTGCCATCTTTTTTGTCCGATTTTCAATGGAATTGAATCATATCTGTTGTTATCATGACAGCGCTAACAATGACAATCGGGGCTACAAAGATTTTAAAATAAGGTTTTCTTGGTTTAGAGTGAGGCAATTTGACCGAAATTTTCAGCATATTCAGTTTACATCATCTAGTTTTTAACTATTATAGTGAGAACTGTCAGCTCTTTATCTCATCTTCCATAATGTTTCTTTAATAATGTGAACCTACATTTCACTAATCTAATCCAATAACAAACTTGGTAGACTGGATTTTTTTAAGTACATGTTTACATGAGGTTATGTATCCAATGGGGACCAACGTTTAATAAATATTTTTTACCGAAGAGGGGTCTGTTTTAAAATTTAGAAACGTAACAATTGTATCAAAAAGTCAATAAGTTCTAAATTCATGCAATAAGCTTACATACTGCACCCCACTCAATAACGCTAGAGACATGATCATTTTTAGTCTCCCAAATATTTAGCTGGATTGCTTTACCACTCTCAGGACTGACTTCTATCACCGACAATTCAAGATTATACACTACCATAGTCATAGTCAACGAGCCTACTCCCATGTAATTCATTTGAAAATTATACATAGGAAAGGCAACTAAATTGAACAAATATTTTCAAATTTCAGAATGCGTTTCAGGCAACCAAATGAATGTTTTCTACAAGTACATGTTGACGATGAGAATTCCAAATATGTGTTAAAAAAATAGAATTTTTTTGCAGTTTTCAAAATATGCAAATAAGTCAACTCAAAACATATTGTAAAGAATAAAAACATTTTTCTTTCTCTTATTATAACTACAAGTTTTTTCTGCTGAATATGGTAAGATATATTTTATAGCAAAGTATATGGTCATAAATCACTTTAAATAGTGACACAGATTAGACACCATGAATTGTTGTTCAAAGTTACCCTGTGATGCTTTTGATAGCATATCGTCACTTAGCTGTTGATCATAATGAATAGGTACATTGTACATGTAGATGAATGTGTTTGCGGCAGAGGACCCCATTCCCCCCCCCCCCCAACCAGAACCACCATTTTTGGTTTAAATCTCTCAAAGTGAGTAAGTAGCCATATTCACAGTCAAAAGTATTCTTATAAAAATACATACGGTACAAATCAAACTATTACAAATCAATCAAAAATAATCTGTTGAAGTATATATTTGTTACTGCTGATTTCACATCGCCATGTTCTGCACTGATTTCTTATAAATCTATATTTTCTAATCCACAGAACTTGACACATACATTACTATCAAAAATGAGCTAAATGTAGATTAATTTTATGGGTTATCACATTTGAAATGTGTAGATAACAGCATATCATCAGCTTTATGTATCTCTACTACTTCTGGTAATCTGATACCCAACCAGCATGTAGACAAAAACTCTAAAACGTAGGAAAAGGACTCAAAATCACAAAATGTCAACAAGTCAAGTCCATCTGTCAGATGAGGGTCCAGTTATATAAACGACACGATGACTGACAATCACAAAAATTTCACACAAGGACAATTTGATGCAAAAACAAAGACACGTACAGTTAATTAAATGAAATGAGGTCTGGCTCAAAATATTAATTACATCCATTCATTTATAAGTTATGAATGATTCGTCCGCCATTTTGTAAGATGGCAGCCATAATAACTGCACTGTCAAAAACTAAAAAGACGATAAAACTGATCCATGAGCTCTTATTCACTTGTCGTTCAGTTATTTAGCTACTCAAGGTATTGAAGGTCACTAATATATCAGTGTTAAACTTTACATTTAGAAGAATAATAGCAAAATTCTTACTTGAAGTTCCGCTCTTTCGACTTCCCATTGCGATCTTTCCATCTCAAAACGAGCCCATTCCGTTTGCAAAAAATGAAGTATTCCTGGCATAGAATACTGAGGGCGTTGGCCCGAATCATCGTTTTGTTGTTGTTTAGTAACCATACTTATTCCTCCAATTCCTGGGCCAAATTGGCCTCCGTGTTGAGATCCAGGGCCGTCTTCGATCATCTTAGCATGGCGGCCATTACAAGTAGCTTTAAATAGGTGGCGCTGGCGTATAGAATGACGTCAGAAATCAGAAAATGCCTAATGCCATTTGAGGCAGAAACCTGCAAGGAGAATCAAACTGTGTCAAATCTCAATGTCTCAAGACCCAGTCGATAGAATATCCCCGAAAGCGTTGCTTTAAAACTGCGTAATAAATATATCTAATGATGTGTGTGTCAAGTGGGATAATGAAATATCGATTATTTTTTTATACGGTACCAGTAATTTACTAATTATAAAACAAAAATATTTCGCCGTCCCGTTTCCCCACTGCCCTTTTAATGTCAGTTTAAGAAATATAATAGAAGCCACTGTATTGGGATATTGAGGCGTGGTTTCTCATTGTCGGTCAGTAATGCAGGGCGGAGGAGGAATTGGCAAGGACCGGCGTCTATAGTCATTCGGATGATACGTAAAACAAATGCCCCGTGTAGTACACAGTGGCGGGCACTTAAAAGAACCATTAACAATTGAAATTTGAATTAAGAGCAGACCGTATAATATTGCCGGGGGGGGGGGGGCAGAGATTATCATCTGTACACGTGCGCAGCTGAATCGGGCAATCAGATACGGGTAAAGTGAAAGAAAAATTAATAAAATATTTTGGAGAAGCAAAAACTGTGTGCCTTCTTGTCGACAAAATAAAGTACCCAAATCACATGACTTTTCGGGCATGGAGCAACTCTGCATCATTGTTTTCGGACTTCAATCAATACCTGTTTCATCAATTTTTTGAGCAGATTTGCCGGACATACGCGTAAGACCTTTTACCGCTAATCGATTAACTAAAGTGCCTGAAATTACACGAGTTTTTGGTTTGCAGCCACTCTACATTGACCCTTATTTGTTTCATCAATTTCTCGGGAATCGAAATTTCCTCAAATTGACCGATGCATTAAATTCAAAATCAGTGTAACAAACAGTGTCCAACTCCACTGGGGTTTTCATGTGGACATTGAGTGGGATTTCTGTTGCAGATGTGCTTAATTACAGAATGATCCGGAGTGGTTTGCCCTTGTTAGTGTTAGTCTAGTTGTTCGGATAGAAAGAAAAGCAAATGTCCCGTTATAGTACACATTCGCGGGCACGAGGATCGACGGTAGCTCTGTGGGTAAGACGCTGGCTAGCTAGTCTGGGGGTAGATAGGTTCGTTGCCCGTGATGCCGTCATGCCGAGAGAGTTCATCGGGATTTTCTGGTGTGATTTTCTCTTGTCAGCCGTGCAGGACGGAGGGTCTGACAAGGACAGTCGTTCGGATGAAACAAAAACCCATGGTCCCGTGTACACATTGGCGTGCACGTAAAAGATCCCTTGGCAGTTGAAATCCGATATCAAAGTAGGTCGTATAGCGCCGCTGTAGGGGCAAAATTTCCCTCATATATATATATAGCGCACTGTATGGCGTATGCCCGTCTTCATTAGCCCAGTCAGAGCCGAACAGTAGGATTAGCCCAGTCGGTGCAGAACAGTAAGACGTTAAACCTCATTTCATTTCATTTTAAAAACCCCACAAGAATGGTCATACTGCACGCAGCGACCCATCTACGTCATACTTCCCATGAATGTTATTCTCAGCCGGAGCTAGCTGTAGATAGGCAGCCTAAGTTTGGGATGAAGAATGGTATGTCCCTCACCCGATTAAAACATCATGTATACAAAACTAAGCAAATTACTAACACGCTAAAATCTACTTTTAAAATGAAAATTTTTGGACGATAAACTTTTGTTAAAAAATTAATCGGAGGAAACGAAATCATTTTTAAAAAAAATGGCTCATCATTATTTTGGTGTATAAAAAGAAAAGTGTCGAATAGTGTTGTTTAAAAATAATTTATGATATAATATAGGATTTTATTGTTTATTTCACTTCAATCGCATATAGGCCTACTGTTAGTTTATACGACTGTAACCTATATCAACTGTGACAAAAGTAAAATTTGACGATTCGGGTCTCGGAAAAATATTATTATTATTATTATTACAGCATATTTATAGTGCACCCTTTCATATAACATGTTCAGGGGCACTTTACAAAGTGACAATGTAAATCATACATAAACAACAAGATTATGGACATGTTAACGATTGTATACAGTCGGTTAAAAGCCTGGTTAAATAAATGTGTTTTAAGTTGTTTTTTAAAAGAATATAGAGATGTACAACATCTTAAACTAAATGGTAGATTATTCCATAAAACAGGTGCTGGTTGTCGGATAGGCGTATGGGCTCGATGAATGTTAGGGGGCAGACCTGAAATGCCCGAAAAAAATTCCCGTTTTCAGAGTTTACCGTGTAGCTGAACTTAAGTGGCTGATATGAATTCCATTCAACAATCAAATCGTTTTACGGAGACGCGAGCGTGGGGAGAAAGTTTTGAAAATTTAACGGCCGCAAACGCGTTTTCCTGCTCTTTCAGCCCATGGATACATAAACTTCAATGTGGTCCAATATAGCCTAACTTAGGTGGCTGTGATGAATTCCAAGCAACCATTCACTCTTTTAGTCCACGGGACCGCTTGATTATGGGGGCGTCGCCTTTCACGAAAAAAAATTTAGAAACTTTAACTGTTTTTCTGTTATTCTAGCAACTTCAAATAAAGTTGTCCAATGGTTTTGTATCCGAAATCCCATTCTATGGCGACCTGAATACCGATCACCAAATCCGACTTTGCAGCTGAATTCACAAATAATAACCCATGTATGAAAAATGTCGCACAAGTAGTCGAGTGGTTCAAGACAGAATGTTTTTATTCATAGTCAATCCAGTACCAATTCGCGGTTATTAGGCATTAAAGGACAATATTGGTGCCAGTCATTATCACGTGATAGAGCTGGTTAAACACATTCCAAATATAATTTTAACACAGAGATCATTGCTACGATAGCTGAGTAATACAGTGATAACGGATATACGGGCATTACCATGTTTTTATAAGGTATAGAATGAATATAAACAAGGGAATGTACGGACTATTTCTATTTTTCTCGTGTTCTCTTAAAATTATCTAATGACATTCAATTACTTTATTGAATTGTCAGGTATCCCCTTACAGTCCCATATAACAACTTTTGGTCTTCGAAGGAATTATTAGTGAGCAGAAATCCGGCCGTGTATCTGTTATCACTCGTCACATCAGTCAGTTAGGCTATAGAGATGACTCGTGTTTTCCTTTGGCGTTCGTCACTTCCGATTCGGGAAACCTGTATTACTCAGTTATCGTAGCAATGATCTATGTGTTAAAATTATATTTGGAATGTGTTTAACCAGCTCTATCACATCTATCTTCTATACTAATATTTGTGACTGTCGTTTGTCTGTCTGTCTGTTCGGGGTTGGCGGCTACACTAGGTCTGCCCAGAGTCTGAAATTTGGTGTATAGGGGTAGCTCGGAACGGGGAGTAACATAGGCCAGGTGGCGTTAGTCTACCACTTCCGGTTTCGGAGTTATGACCCCCGAGCGAAGCCGGTCTGTTCGGGGTTGGCGGCTACACTAGGTCTGCCCCGAGTCTGAAATTTGGGGAATATGGGTAGCTCGGACCGGGGAGTAACATAGGTCAGGTGGCGTTAGTCTACCACTTCCGGTTTCGGAGTTATGACCCCCGAGCGAAGCCGGGTATCCTGCTAGTATGTGATAATGACTGGCACCATGCAATATTGTCCTTTAAAAGAAAAGGGAAAATTTGTGTTTTATTAGATTTCCGGCACTATATTTGGCCAACCAGATGATATATTAAATTTTGTCCCTTTACTCGTCTGCCCGAAATGTCAGATTGCCGGGCAGGCGACAGTTAGTACGGCAGTTGACCCTCCCTGTCCCACTGGACTGTTAGACTAGACTGGACAACCTGCTCTAAATGACGTCAGGCTTGTTCCTACGTCACTGCGCTATTCTGACTTCAATATGCAAGTCAGAAAAGGAGTGACGTAGGAGCGAGTCTGACGTGTTAGAGCAGGTTATCCAGTCTACTGTTAGACTGGTTGAACGCGACCAAATCAAGGAGGGACAACTCTATTTACCCGGGAGATGTGAGCGGACTTGTTTGTTATTATATTTTTATTTTTTCGTTATTTCAACAATTTAATTTCGATTTATGATGTATTAAATGAAAAAGACAAATTCACGAAATGTCCACTTTAAATGAAACGCCACGCTCTGATCGCAGAGACAAGCGAGTGATAAATTTGGCAGCTGAAATATCCGAGGCAAGAGACAGAAAAATTCCAATTTTGTTGCTGGGGGTAAAAGGTAAATCCTTGTGTTTTGAACTAGTTTAAATGTTTTCCTTTATTTAGAACTGATTAATTTTTAAGGTTTGGATCGCAAAGTCAAAGCATAAATGAAACACATGAAAGTCTTTGCATCGAAGGTGATAGAAAGGGTACAGTTGACTTGAACTCTTCTCCGATCACTTCTCTCTCTTCCATCTCCATGCAGTCTTGAGAAGAGGTTCAGAGCTATGGTTTATCTGAATTAAGTAAGCCGTTATTAACTGAGCAAAAACTAACACATTTTTCTTTTTAACACTCAGCATATATACATAATCCTACCCGACACAGGTTCAAATCATATCCTTTCAATTGAAGTTGTAAAGGACAAGTCGTTGCTAGGTATGATTTTCATTTAATAGTGCACAGACATACCATGAGGTACTATTATTAGTATGGTTGGTACATGCAAAGTGAGCTTAACTATAACAAAACTGTTAGAAATTTTGCACGGTGCATATCAACTGTCATTAAGTTAATTAATTATTATATATCAACCGGGAGAATTTGGATGAAATCTTTTGACCTGCTAATCTGCCCTAGTAAGAAGGCATAAAATATAGACATTTTAAGATTCTTTATGCAGCAAAGCCTAGCGGTTTTCATGGCTTCATAACGATGAGAGTACCCTCATTGAAACTTTGCATTTATAAACTTGATCTAAGTGGACCAGTTCTTGGATTTTTGACAGTTAACGGATTCTGGGGAGATTTTATTATGAAATTGATAAATAATGTATATTTAATTATGTTACAGGTATCTTGAATAGTGCTGAATCTGGAAGTCAAGATGGTGTGAGAATACGACAAGAACTGTACAGTTATAATGTTTTACAAGTACTTGTGTTGGTCCTGAGACAAGATTTTTCAGTCATTGATGGCGATTGGACCACTGCAGCATCTCTTGCTAAAATACTCAGGTACAATTGTGTTAAACAAAGAGAAAGAGAAATTGAGTCAACTGGCTTAGTTTTGATTCCCAGCTTGTACGTGACAAGAAGTAGGGCTGGCGAAAAATATCGATATAGCCGATAATCGTCAGCGACTACAGAAAAATATCGATATCGATATTCAATTCTTGATATTGACACTCGTATAAAAAATAAACGGAATGTTTTGTGTCAAATAATCGCCGTCATATTCAAAACACGCTAAAAGTAAAAACACACACACTAGACAATGTACAACCACCACACCGGTAATTTTTGGGGTCGTTTACAACATAACAATGAATAATTAATTGATTGTTCAGGGAAATAACTTGATTTTAATAGAAATTTATTTATTGTTATAAGCGGCCGAGGAAAATTGTCAACAGCAATTGATAATTGATGGCGAACGCGAAGCTGCGATTACTATTTTGTTAATAATACTAAATACTATAAGATAAGCTGTGAACGAAACAAACATTAAGAAAACTTAGTTTGAGGATCATAGTTTCTTTTTTTGTTTGATCAATAACACATTTAAATGCATTATTAGCATACAAACAGTTATTTCTTTCAACTTTAAATTTTCCGATATATCGATATCGATATTCAAAATAGGTATCGATTGCCAGCCCTAACAAGGAGTATGCTCGCCTGTCCAACCTCATGGATTTTCCCTGGGTTCTAGTGGAGTAGAACAGAATGAGACTACTGGAGATATTATAGCAATGTAGAGAAATTAGTTTTCAAGAGAGGTAGTACAAAACTCCATGTTTTGAAAATGTAAATTATTATTTGGTACTTGTAGAATCTTACCAGTGAATTTAATGAAGCATTGCAGAGAAATTAGCTTTCAAGTGGCGTAATAAAGTCACAGTTGTATGTTTGAGGTAATAAAGTGTAAGTCATTATTTGGTGAAGTTTAATGTAGCACTGTAGAATAATGAGATTTCAAGGGAGATAGTAATAGATGCTGTGTGTTTTAAATATGAGGGAATTAAATGCAATTCATTATTACCATGTATTATTAATTACAGTGTAGCTTGTACTGGTGTGGATTTAAAGAAAGAAGATGCATCCGGATTCTATGAGGGCCTTCTACCTAAAGCCTGTGAAAATCTGTTTTTATTGTGCAGACATATCCAGGCACACTATACACAGATTCCTGAAACAGATGTAAGTACTAAGATGCATGTTTAAACATACATTATGCAAGAGCTAAATCTGCCTATTGTAGGTCTTTCTTTATTGCAGGTCTTTCTTAAGGCCTGAAATGGAATCTAAATTATTAATTAGACATTAAACATACATTATGCAAGAGCTAAATCTGCCTATTGCAGGTCTTTCTATGGGCCTGAAATGTTATATAAATTATTAATTAGGCATTAATTAACTTATCCAGACCATAATCAACTCTCGATGTCATCAATAGCCAGCAATATATACTGGATTAGAACCCGATTGGCTGCTAAACCTCATAGATGATTAAATAAAAAAATGGATAATCGAGACTATGTTTCTTATTGTACGGACTTTAGTATTGATGAGCGAAGCTAGGCCAAATATTCAGTCATTAAATTCTCGATTCAGAGTGCATCAATTTGACTAAAATTTCCAGCAAATTCCCTTTACATTATCTAGTTTTTAACTATTATAGTGAGAACTGCCAGCTCTTTATGTAATCTTCCATAATGTATCTTTAATTAACTTAGTTCAGCTATAGAGACAGAAATGTTGTTTTAATGTCTACTCGATACAAACTAGGTCATTTTGGGACTGGCCTGACAAGGACAGCTGTATAATCATTTGGATGGGACGAAAAACCAAGGACCTGTGTATACATTGGCATGCACGTAAAAGATCCCTTGGCAGTTGGAATTTGATACAAGATTAGGCCATAGTGCCGCTGCCTGGGCAAATTTTCCCTCATAGCACAATGTTTGGTGCATGTCCGTCTTCATTAGCTCAGTCAGAACAGAACAGTAGGACGTTAAACCCCATTTTATTTCATTTCTTAAATGATTTACAGGTTAAATATAGTTAGAGGTGTATATTTACATTAACCTCTTTCTTTCCTCTGATTGGTTAGTTTTTAATATATTTCAGTTTAGTGAAATTGAAGAAGCTAAAACTATGGAGAATTTTCAAACGGTTATGGATGCCTTAGCCTATTTGGTTGCAGCTCATAGCCATCTATGTAAAAATGGTAACTATTCACTATATAAATAGAAATCTATGTATTTGTCAGGTACAACCAAGTCTGCAAATGTTGTTTTTCTGAATTTTACTTTTGTTTGAAAGCTGCAGTGGGTCAGTGAGTAAGATGCTCGCTCGCTTGCTAATCAGGAGATTTGCGGCTTCCTCTGTGTTGGTCGGAGGGTCTGACAAGGAACGGTGTCTAGTCATTCATATGGGACAAAAAAACAAGGTCCTGTGTACACCCTTGATAGTTGGAATTTGAAATCAAAGGAGGACGTAGTGGTGCTGTCGGGTCAAAATTTCTCACATAGCAGACTTTATGGCATACCGGGAGGTTGGATGGCCGAATGGCTAGGGTGTGCGCTCTTATCTTAAGGTCTGTCATTGAGTCAACTGGCGAGGTTTCGATTCCCTTGTTGTACTTGACAAGGAGTAAGGTCGCCTGTACAACCTCGTGGGTTTCTCCAGGTCCTCCGGTTTCCTCCTACTGCTAAAGACCCCTACGTGCATGCGCATTATTGAAATAGAATTGAACTATATGTTAGTCCCGAAATGACCTAGTTTGTGTCGAGTGGATGTTAAACACCATTTCTATCTCTCTGGCTTAAGCTTGTCTTCAGAATGTTGCACAAAAGTTTATGTTGAACCCCATTTCATTTTATTTTTGTTTGGAATTTAAAGAAGAAAAAATTAAAATGTTGCGCACATGATTGGTATCTTTATGTTGTAAACTTTTACTGTGGGAAACAAAATAACCATATGTTAGTCCCAAATTAATGTCTTTGTAGTTTTGAAGTTAACGTATATCAATAATTCTTGTCTCTGTTTTCTTGTAGTATACACATCACCATGGTTACTACAACTGTTGATATCAGATGATGTTGATACCGTAGTCAGTGTGATGTCATTCCTTCTTAAAATAATCAGAATTAACGGGTGAGTACTCACATAGGCATACAGGACTAATTGATTTCAGTGTTAGGGGAGGGGAAGGGGCACAGGTTCAAACTGACCCAATTTCTCTATTTCACCTGACACTGATTTAGCAACAAAATGGCACCTTTGTTTACTTAGCCCACCATAAGGTCTGTCATGTGACAAGGAGTAGGGTCACCTGTCCAACCTCGTGGGTTTTGCTGCCCGGGCAAAATTTCCCTCATAGCACATTAAACCCCATTTCATTTCATTTCAAATAGAAAAACTCCTACTAAAACTTCATGATACCCAAATTGGTAGTGATGGTAACCCATACAATATTTATATATATATTTTAGGTATTTATTGAATAACCTTGTTTATAATACAATATTTACATTTATTTGTATATTTTTAGGTATTTATTGAATAAACTAGTTTATTATACAATGTTTATATTTGTTTATATATTTTAGGTATTTATTAAATAAATTAGATGATAATACAGCGTTTACGATAATGGATGAATTAGTTTATAAATTAACTGTTAATAATATTATAGAAGTAGCAGCGTAAGTATGTTATAAATAAAATATCTTCATGGCTATAAACTTAGTATGTATGTCTGTATTTTATTCTACCATTCTTTCTGAAACAGGAATACATGGTAGTGTCCTTGTTCTTGGCGGGGCTGGATGGTTGTACGTGACAAGGGGTAGGCTCGCCGGTCCAACCTTGTGGGTTTTCTCTAGGTCCTCCGGTTTTCTCCCACTGCTAAAGATCCCTACGTGCAAGCGAATTATTGAAATAAGATAGAGCCATATGTTAATCCCGAAATGACTTGGTTTACCCAAAACGTGTCTTGCATCCATTGACTTGCTCGGTTTCAGTTTGATTTTCATATAGTATGTCTGTATGTTTTTTTTTCAGTATAGCTATAAAATGTATAAAACTAAAGTTGTATTTATATTTATTTCAGTATAGCAACTAAGTGTGTATTAAAAGTATGTGATTATCATAAAGGTATGGTTGGTGCTTTATCTACAAGATACAAGTAAGTTACTAGCAGTATAGTTTATTTATTTGGTGGGTGTTGAGTGGTGTTTACATCTTATCAAGTGGTGTTTACATCTTATCAAGTGGCATGGTTTTGATTTCCTACTTGTCTCGTATGTGGCAAATAGTAGGTCCTTGTGGATTTTCTCCTGGTCCTCCAGTTTCCTCCCATTGCTAAAGACCCCTATGCGCAAGGGAATTATTGAAATTAAATTGTACTCTATGTTACCTAGTTTTTGTTGAGTGATTGTGAAATGCCATTTCTCTTCCCTCACTCGCTTTGTGTTTAAAGTGCAAGACATAAATTTGTAAGAGCGACACAAAGTCTGGATATGTACTGTAATTATGAAAATAACAGACTGATTATTGGGCCTTCAGATTTATAGAAATGTTGTACAGGGTCCCCAATCTCAAGACCCTATATACTTATTTCACAGTGTTTTTATGGTTTTGTATATAATGAAATACTCGGTGTACACTTGATGCAAAGTTATAGACTGGTACCCTGCATGACAAATTAGTTTCACTTGGATCCAGATACCAGTAGCCCCCGCCCGACCAATGCCGTACTTTGCCTATTTGTATATCCGACCCAACAAGCTAGAATGATTTACGTTTTACATATATTTATTTCAGAGGTTTACGACCGCTGTTGGGTAAATGGTCTGGACAAGGTTTTGATAGAGATCTCAAGCACCTATTAACTATACTAGAGACTGGATCTCTACACAGGGCAGAAAATGAAGTAAGACTCTCTTTATACTGAGTTTTGGACCAGTAACTAGTCCCCAAGTGATACTTGTCTTGTTGCTGTTCTTAGGGTTTGCACTCGTAGGAAAAATCCCCAGACTCCCCCAATTCATGGACGATTGAAATAAAGCTATATATACATGCGCATCAATTGACAGACTTTGATTTTAGTAGGACGTCATAATTCCAAGATGGCTTCAATGATGTCCTAGTGAGTTCCTGGTCCATAGTACGATGGTATACGGTTGTACTAAATATTGACCCATACAAATCGGTGGGTGCGTATTCATTGCCTCATATAGCTATGTTAAATAGGGCCAATTAGTTGGAATGGCAGAAATTAGTTGGAGTGGCAGGAAAAACTCCTGATCCATACAGTTTGTATTTGATGAAGAGTGGGGGGATTGGATGGCCAAATGGTTAGCTTGTGCTGTATCATAAGGTCTGTCATTGAGCTAACTGGTGTGGCTTCGATTCTCTGGTTGTATGTGACAAGGAGTAGTGTCGCCTGACCTACCTGGTGGGTTTTCTCCGGGTCCTCCGGTTTCCTCCCACTACTAAATACCCCTATGTGCAAGTGAATTATTGAGATTAAATTGAACCATATGTTATTCCCGAAACGACCTATTTTGTGTTGAGTGGACGTAAGACCCTCTCTTTCTCTATCTCTCTCTTTCGACGAAGAGACAGCGAAACACAGTGATATTCCCCTTATAATTAATACACTGTATGCTGATCTTGATTAGCCCAATTGGTTAAGATCAGGAATATGCAAATTTAATCTGTTAGGTCTGAATATTAAGGCCACCTGCAGATTTCGTCAAGGTCACAAGGCCTACCCCTAACACTGACCCACAATCTCGTCAACAATTACGTTCCCTAACCCTATGTACATTTCACGACCTGACCAAATTTAATGTTACCTGAGACATTGTATCTTAATCTGCGGTCTTCATTAACCCATTTCATTAATAGGGGATGGTATAATCAATTTTAAACCTTTTTGTAAAATATTTACAGAAATTTTTTGATGCAGCTATGGTGATTCAAATGATGTGGAGAGGTTTCTCAACGCGGAAAAAATTAAAGAAAGCCAACACAGCTTTTGCCAAGTTCCAGAAAAATTACAGGTAGGCTACTGTATTGGTCTATTTTAAAGAAGCTAAAACTCTTTGATTTGGGTCAGACTAAAGTCATTGAATTGGGTGAATCAGGTGTATTATTATGATTAACGACCGGTCAGACTCTATGTGGTTTTATGGTTGAGAACGAGACATCAAGTAACATAGGTGGGTTGGGTAACATTAGGTCTGTCATTGAGCCAATTGGTTGGTTTTGATTCCCCGGTTGTACATGACAAGAATTCAAGTCACCTGTCCAGCCTCGTGGGTTTTCTCCGGGTCCTCTGGTTTCGTCCCACTACTAAAGACCCCTATGCACAAACGAATTATTGAAATAAAATTGAACCATATGTTAATCCCAAAATGACCTAGTTTGTGTCAAGTGGACGTTAAACCTCATTTCTCTCTCTACCCATTAAGTAACATGTTGATACTGTACGAGAACGTTAGTCTGAGTGATGTTTCAATATATTACGCAACGTCTCCTTCTTCACCATTAAACAACTTAAAATACAGACACTATCTCGCACATGCTTTGCAGTGAAATCGTAACTCAAGTCCAATATTTCAACAAGTATAAATAATGGTACACCAACATCAAAGGGTGTTGTCACATCAGTATTTTAAATACATTTAACGTCTCTGTGTATTTTTCATACAATATCAAAGCATCCATGTCTTAATATACACAAAAATATACTCAAATGTGAATTTATCTTTGTCTGTATTGTAGATTAAAGAAGAAACATGTTACAATGAAGAAAGAAGAAGAGAAATTAGCCAAAGAATTTGAGAGACAGTTTAAAGAGAACAGGTTAAAGATAATGAGAGAATTTCATCAAAAACAGTTACATACCATAGAAATATTACCAGCAGGTACTTGTAGTTATAGGTTTGTCATTGAGTCAATTGGTGTGGTTTTGATTCTCCGGTTGTACATGACAAGGAGTAGGGTCAACTGTCCAACCTTGTGGGTTTTCTCTGAGTTCCACTGCTAAAGACCCCTATGTTAAGACTATATATTAGTTCGTAAATGACCTGGTTTGTGTCGAGTGGCCGTTAAACCCAATTTCTCTTACTCTCTAGTTCCTTAGGATTTTCTAGCCAGATTTCCCTATGTCATTGGTGTAGGACGGATGGTCTGGCAAGGAAAAATATCTAGTTGCTCAACCCTAACCCTGGAAAATCCATTCCCTGTTTTTACCATGAGCTCCCTGTTAAAGATCCCCGAACAGTTTGAAATCTAAATCAATGTAGACCATAGCCCCACTGTCAAGGTCAAATTTCCCTCATAGCCAACTGCATGGAATATTTCCATCTTCATTAGACCTGTGCTGAAAAGTAAGACTTCATGTAACTTAAACATACATTATGCAAGAGCTAAATCTGTCTATTGTAGGTCTTTCTTTAGGCCTGAAATGTTATCTAAATTATTAATTAGACATTAATTAACCTATCCAGACCATAATCAACTCTAGATGGCATTGCTAGCCTGCGATCTTTAGTGGATTATGAGCTGATTTACTGCATAACTTTCCTTCACGATTTAACGATTAAATGGATAATCGAGACTATGCTGTTTATCGTACTGACTTTAGTAATGATGATCAAGGCTAGGCCAAAAATTCAATCGCTAATTTCTCGGTTCATAGTGGATCAATTTGAATGAAATTTTCAGCAAATTTCCTTTACATTATCGAATTTTTAACTATTATAGTGAGAACTGCAAATTTGTTATCAAATCTTCCATAATGTATCTTTAATTTTCTATTTTTGCAACAGCTAAAGTAGAACAATATTTAGCTAAAGAGAAATCAGTGGCAGCTGTGAAAATACAGACATTATGGCGCGGTAAAAAAGAGAGAGATTTATTACCATGGAGACAACAGGTTCGATTGCAAGTTAGAGCAGCCATTAGAATACAGAGATATGTAAGTTTTATTGAACACATCTGGGGTTTATTGACTAAAAAGGCAAATGCATAGTCTAAAGATTGTAAGGGTTGAGGAGGGGGTGTCCAATGATCTTCTACATTTGCTTTAGATCATAAGGTCTGTTAGTGAGTTAAGTGGTGTGGTTTCGACAGTGAGTAGGGTTGCTTGTCCAACTTCGTGGATTTTCTATGGGTCCTCCATTTTCCTCCCACTGCTAAAGACCCCTACACGCAAGCGAAATTATTGAGATAAAATTAAACCATACGTTAGTCCAGAAATTACCTAGTTTGTTTCGAGTGGATGTTAAACCCCATCTCTCTCTCTCTCTCTCTCTCTCTCTCTCCCATGATTGTAGTATAGTCACCAGTTTCAGTTCTTTAGTTATCTCTGAGGTCTCCAGTTTCCTCCCACTGCTAAACAAATCAATACACATTTGAATTAATGAAATTAATGTTAGGCCTAAATATGACCTGTTTGTATCAAGTGGATGTGAAGCCACATTTTCATGCTCCTACATTTATTGATTTTCATAAATTTTTGATAACAACTTCTGAAGTTATTCCCCTTTGTTCAAAAAATCTTGTTAACACTCTGAAGGTTTTGAGTATAATCTGATTGTATTGAAATTTATGTGTTGTTTTAATGCTCAAAGGATGTAGCTGCTGGTCAGCGAATGTTTCGTTACCTAGCAACCTGTTTCTCTTTTTTCTTTTTAACTTTTCGACAGACGTAGCTGCTGGTCAGCGAATGTTTCGTTACCTAGCAACCTGTTTCTCTTTTTTTTTATAAATATTACCTGAATTTGTAGATGGACACAAGGCTGTAAATAGGATCTATGAATGATTGTGGTACGATATTTTTTCAGGTAAGAAAATGGCTGGATCGTCGAGCTGATAAAAGTAAAGATATATCGGTATCGTTAAAACCACCTGGTTTAACAGATGCAAGACGAATAGAGTTACAAACGCAAATACAAGAATGGAGAGATCTACATCCGGTAAGTTAAATAAATCCCAACAAGTCTGATCTGTAGAGTGTCTACAAAGGTTTCATGACAAGGGCAATAACTATGTAATGATGCTTGGTGACTCTGAATGGTGTTAAAGCTACCCGAACAGTTCCAGCTAATTATTTTAATATCTAACCGTTCTCCTCATCGGGTTGCACAGGTAACCATAGAAATAGAAGTTACCATGTTAGTCTCAAAATGACTTGTACATGACAAGGAGTAGCGTCGCCTGTCCAACCGTGTGGGTTTCCTCCGGGTCCTCCGGTTTCCTCACACTGCTAAAAACATCTACGTGCAAGCAAATTATTGAAATAAAATTGAAACATATGTTAGTCCCGAAATAACATAGTTTAAGTTGAGTTGACTTTAAGCCCCATTTCTCTATTCCATTGTTTTTTTTCGTACCGACTTAACTAATGATGATCGAGGCTATCCTAAAATTCAAAATCTAATATCTCGGTTCAGAGTGGAGCAATTTGATTTAAATTTTAGCATATTCTATTTGTGTTATCTATTTGTTAACTATCATAGTGACAACTGTCAACTCTTTATCTAATCTCCTGTATTTCCCTTTAATTGAATTCTTATTTTGAAAAATAAGATATTGGATCATTGACCAGTTGGTTCTGGTTTTCATCCCTGTTCCTAAAGATTTATCAATGTGGTTTCCCCTTGTCAGTGGTGCACGACAGGGGCCTGGAAAGGAACAATGTGTATTCATTCAGATGAGGTGCAATACACCTAATCTTGCATATATAAAAACCTTGACAGTTGGAATTCCTGAAGAGTAGATGGAATAGCTGTGGTCTGTGTATGACCATTTGGTGCAGAACAGTAGAACGTTAAACCACATTTTATTTCATTTTTAGGGGGTTTTATTTTTCAGACTCATATTAAAGATAGAGAAGGATTACAAGAAATACATAACAGAGCAGCTCAACTATTAGCTAAACATTATCTAAATATTAAAACTAACCGTCAAAAACAACATCATTTAGAGAGTTTAATGGCCAGATTAGATACAGATTCAGATCTTGTACAATGTAAGTAACAGGAAATATTATTGAACTTTGTTGTGACAATCTGATTAAAATACAGCTCTATATTTCATTAGTTTTTTTTATACTTTCGATGGCCTACACTTCATGAAGATCTAACAATTTGTAGTGGAAGGTTGCGTCAGAGGTCATACAACTGGCTTTTGACCAGTGACGTAAGACATTTGATTAACCAATCGGCATTGATGTTTTTAGTAGGTTACCCACAGTTCCGAGCACCTCACGCCAAAAACTCACCGTAACAGTGATCAAAGTATCACTGATTCTTCTTCTTTCATCAGGCAGTGTAGGCGGCCATTTTGAGATCATCTGATATCAATGATGTCTCCGATTGGCTTATGAAAATGATTCGCCCTTTAATATATGCTGGACACGGGCAGACAAGCAGATATGCTGGTGAATCGATCGCTGGTGTAAAATATTCGGCCTAAAATATCTAAAATGTTAGATTCGGGCAATTGGTTGGGTGAATGGTTCGCTGAGCAGAATCACCTTTTACCGTGAAGGGACACACAAACAATTTTTTTCAAGTGATTTTAAAAATCAGCGTGCTCAGTCGAAAAATACGCTCGTCTGCCTTAGGTATTGTCCTGGATCAGGTAATAAAATAGGTTGTTTAAATTCATTTCATTCCTGGCATTAGGAAAAAACAAATGCATGTTAGTCTCAAAGTATTGTATTGACGAGACGTTAATTTATTGATGTTTTCCTCATCTTTTATTTCAAGTGGCACCTAAGTTAAAAGATGTAACAGATAAAGATGTAGAGATGTATACAAGTCGATCTGTTCCCGTGGCAACTAAAGCTAGATTAAATCACGTAGAAACATTACGTAGATTACAGAAACCTTGGTGGAAGAGATTAGGGGAGGAGGATGAGGATCAATTCCGTGAAGAATATCAGGAAATGGACGAATATTTATTTTAGATTATAAACATTCTGTTTGAATTATTAATAATTCAGGGAGGCTTTGCTTCATGGCTGACATTCGTTTAGACTGAAGCGGAGTTCTTGTTTCAGTCGTATGGATGAATATTTATTCTATAACTAGATGCAAATACAAGCAAATATCATTGAATACAGCCATTGAATGACCTATGGTTGTATTCAATGGCTTGGACACATACTACTTTTGGGGACTACTACTTTTGTGCAGAATGACGTCACTTTCAGAATTACGTCAAACTATAAGACGTCAACACTAGCAACCACAATTTTTGTAAGAAAGAAAGAAAAACAGACGTAACCTATGATGAATTTTAACGTTATTAGTGATGATTTTCTTTTTCTGATGATCTGGATAGTACAGTGTATTTTGAAATTTGCATGTAGTTATAGAATAAAAACAGAAATCAATGACCATTGAATTCCGCTCAGGTTATTCAATGGTTCAAGACATTGGATTCACCGTGATATTCAATGGTCTTTGAGTTTAATTGATTTATTTTTGATTAGAAAAATTGTTAGAATGTTATTGTTAAAAATACAGTAAGGTTAAACTTCAAGGCTAATGTTCGGATTCACTGAAGTTTTGTGATAGAAAGCAAGGACATCTATGATTTCTATACGTCCATATTGAAATGTACATAGTTGTATATTTTCATTGACCCTCTGCCTGTCCTTCATTTGTCGTTCCATCCATTGGTCCTCTGTCTACAATTCCTTGTGAATGCTCTACAGACTGCATTTCAGAATCCGATCCTTTAAAAATTTGCGTCTTGATTTATGGCCCTTGTTACTTTGTAGCAGTCAGAGTTATCATCTGATCTGTTTGATATTTAATGAAATGATGAAATCTTTTGTTTTTGTGAATAGTTGGATGAAGGGGCAGAGTATTTTTAAATGAATCATTAGCTTGTATTGTCCGTATAAAATTCTCCTGATAGCAAAATATTGATTGGTTCTTATTGTAGTTTAAATTATAGCATAATTCAACTGTTTACAATTTCTCATCAAAGCCTTATAAGTATTTCCCATGATTTAAAAACCATTCCATCCAATTACATTTATATCATATCAAGTCTGTGAGGAAGTTAAAATCCCTTTCTAACTACAATATCTCTTAAAGCCCCTAATTATCATTTGAGGGAGTTTTAATGACCCACGGAGACTTGAACTTATAATTGAACCTAAATGTAAAATGTCCGTCCTATTGAAGAGTTCTTGTTAGTAAATATTTATTTTGTTTTATCCTCAAGTTGTATTTATTTCTGTTGTATAATTATACTTGACAAATCTTTGTAATAAATTATTTTTTGTATGAAAAATTTGTGCATTTTTTTTTCACCAGAGCAGTGGTAGAAATGGTTTAATTAACTCGTTCTAGTTGATAATTACTTACAAACACAGATGTATGCTGGTCTTAACAGACTTTTGGTGTAGAACAGTAGGACATTAAACCCCATTCCATTTCATTTGTGAACAGACTTGTTTGATGAAAGCAATGAAATTTTAATTGAGACTTCGTTTGAATATTTGTTGGTGTGCATCCAGGTGTGGGGGTTGTTTTATTGCAGTTACTTCCCTTTACTTATGTGTGATGACTAGTCGGATTTCTCTCTCTCTCAGACTGTAGGGTGGCCCATGTACTCACAGAAATACAGTCCACCGCTGATAGTTCGAGACTACCACTGAAGCGTGCACATTCGCCGTGCCGAGACCAACTTTCTGACAGTATGATACTATAAATAGCCATGGCACGTGCAATTCTCTACAAATCTATCAACTATTACAGCCGTAAAAAATTTATTGTTGACGATTTTGGATAGCAGTTAAATTAAGCTTCTTGGTTATTACAGCAGATTTAGAAATTACGTTCGTTTCATTTTTTTAAATCGCTTTATCATTAACTGTACCGTTAAGAGCGGCATCTTTTGGTTTAGTACAAATAATATATCTGAATCACTCGGGTTAGGCAGGAACATGATACTAGCAGTAGTTTCATTTTACCTTTACAAGTTTCTTAAAACGATTGTTGAGCTACCTAACGTGCTTATTTCTAAATTCAATTTCTTGTTCTAGCTTTCTGTTACGTTTCGTAAAAAAGTAGTCTTGATTATCCCGACCTGTCAATCAGACGTAGAATGGTCGATAGACTGGTTAAGCGAGACTAATTTCAAAACAAGGGCACGTAACCTATCTTTTACTCAAAAGTGTCTGGATGTTATGGACGACTCTTGGAACCAGTTTTCAGTCTATTATTTATACATGATTAATAGTCATAGCTTGTTAAGTACAACATGATCGTTTATTTAGTGACTATATTTGTGTGAAACTGATTTGAGGCTTGGCATATATATAAATATTGTGGCGTAATTGTCGAGATATATGGAGATATTTATTTATGGTGGGTCACCCTACTCTCTCTTTGATTTGTGTCACGACCTCTGATCTTTATAACACTCACATTGTCCCACACAAGACTTATGTCTGGGGATCTAGATCTTCAGATGAGACAAAAAACCGGGATCCACTTCCGAGGACTCGTGTAAACATTGGCCTGCATGTAAAACAACCCTTTACACATGGAATTCGTAGAGCCGCTGTCTGGGCAAAATTTCCTTCATAGCACATTGCATGGCGTAACTGAAGTTTATGAGGAGACATGTAATACATTAAACCCCATTTCATTTCAAATCCGAGCTCGGAGATAATAGGGACCTTTCGCACCGGTACGAGAACGAATACGAAAACGAAAACGTCATCGATTCGTGTGTACTTGTGACGTCAATCCGTAATGAGTGTTCAGCCAGTGAAAAACGTTACGCGTATGGAGGTGGAATTACGTAGGTATGCAAACGAATATGTTTCTTGTCTCATATATTGAATTTTTCACCATTTTTCGAGCCTTTGTGTATATTGTTGATTGTGTAGGGTTCGTAGAATATGCTTACAAGGAATATTCTGCTTGATTTGTTGTACATCTGCCGAAAAATCGATTGAAAACTTTGCCTTGACCGAGAAGTTCATGGAGTGGAAATTAACGCCATCTAGTTATTATCGTACGTCGGATTGCGAAACCGCGTGTTAGAGGCTACATATGTTCGTTTTGGTGTTCGTTTTCGTACCGATGCGAAAGGTCCCATATACAATACCTTATATTTCTGTTCCGTTGACAACGACATCAATGAAGTCTAAAATTTAAATCATTTTAATGATGTGAATTTTATCGTATTTATGTAAAACATTGTCTAGCGATGATATACAATTCGACACTGCTATGTCTAATTTCAGGTTCAAAAAATAAAAATGAAATGGGGGTTTCTTCGTCTTCCCATTAACGCGTCGGCCTCTGTTAGAGTGTAATTGACTCGGGCACATGCACAAACGTATAGGAAACTTCTCCGCAAGCACTTAAAAGTCCAAAGTTGGATAGTTTGTACAGATATTAACAATTATTAACAATATATACAGGTTTTGATGTGGTCTATCATGGTTTGTGCTGTGTAGGGTTCCAGGGGATGGGAGTCCGTTCCAGTATCTTACTGATCTTGGGAAGAAGGAATGCTGGTATTTCTCTTTCTTGGCTCTTGTTTGTCTAAGTTTGTGGTTTCCTCCGGTTCTGCTGTCGCCTGCTCTGTAAAACTTCTCTGAGTTAATGGCAATCAGTTGGTGACGTAAAGCGTCTGTGTTGGAGAGATTCCCATTGGAGGTTGTCTAAAAGTTTTGTTACACAGCCTGGGGAGTTGTCTTGGTAGCAGTTGAAAGCAAAGCGGGCTGCTCGTCGCTTTACTTGCTCTATTTCTCGTAGAGTAGTTATCTGGTGCGGGTCCCACACTGTTGCCGCATACTCGAGGACTGGTCTCACAAGGGCTGTGTAAGCTGTGGCTTTAGTCGAGGTGGTGCACCTCAGGAAACCAAGCGTCTTAGGGGCCTTCCCAGTTGTCTGGTTGATATGTTTAGTCCGGGGGCCGTATTTATAAAAATTCTTAGAGTTTTCATAACTTTTACTCTAAGACTTCCTAAAACAACATATAGTTAAAAGTTACTCTTTAGAAATATTTATAAAGGGTCTTAGAGTTACTTTTAACTAAGTGTAAGACTTGGGTCCTAACCAAACTCTTAGCGATGTAACCATGGGAAATCCGGGGATTCCCTGAAGTTATTTATAGCTCAGTGTTGATGTCATGCAATCACTCTACTCACTGTAGGTTGACTGACGCCGAAATTGTCACCACTACACAGTTGCATTTTACCAGTAGCTAGGAAACGAAGCGTAATGGCGATCTTCATCTCAGCGTCGATTGAGAAATTTCGTTTAGTAGGACTCGTAAGTAGATGCCGAACTAAATCTGTCACAAAAAGAATCCCACCCATGTCCATTCGATATCTCCTTATCAACTCGTCATTGTTGTACTCCACTAAGAAATCTCTTCTTGTTTTAAACTCTCTTAGGCGGCGTACACGGACGGCCATGTTAACTAAGATAAGAGTACTTTTAACAAGTTAGGAGTGCTACAGGAGGACTCCTAAATATGTGTCATAGTTAGGAGTAATTCTTAAAGTAAAATGTTTTATAAATAGGTCTTAGGAAAATCTACAAAGTTAGGAGTAATTTTTGACAGTTAAGAGTTGGTTCCAACTCTTAGAATTTTTATAAATACCGCCCGAGGTCATGTCCTTGTTGATGGTTAATCTCAGGTATTTCCCACTATCAACTACTTCCAGCGATTGTCCATGTAGTGAGTATGTCATCTGATGGATTTGACGCTTTCCTGGGACTCGAATGACTGTACAATTTTCTGAGTGGAAACTCATCTGTCACTTCTTCTCCCAGTCTTCCAATGATGTTAAGTCCTTCTGGAGGGCTGCAGCATCTTTGTTGTTGCGGATGCGACGAAAGAGGAGACAGTCGTCTGCGAACAGTCTGGCGTCAGAGGATGTTGCTTCTGGGAGATCGTTGACGTATGCTAAGAAAAGTAAGGGGCCCATGACTGTACCGTATTAAATAGTAATGGCAGAAAGATTTGATTTATCTAAATCGTACATAACGCGACTTTAATTTAATTATACTTTCCGATATAAATGTATGTATAGCAGGTTGGTTTCCAGTTAGATAGATTTCATTATCATGCACATAGTTTTTTCTTGTAAGGGAATGCAATAGATCCACCTACTTCATACTTCGAGAATAAATCTCTGGCCCAAATGGCCGCCATATCCAAAATTTAGTCTACTGTTTTATAATGCGGCCCTACTCCGGTTCACATCTGTCATACACACAAAGACTAAATAAACTTTTCCAATCTTATTAAATAGAAGCAGAATAACTAATTAACAAAATTCTCGAAATATACTTTATGTTTTCGATTAAAATCCTCGAAATGTCGGTCAACTAGCTTAGTTTCTGTTCTCAAGCGGAGCTAACGAAATGAAATGAAATGGGGTTTAACGTCCTACTGTTCTGCTCCGACCTGGGCTAATGAAGACGGGCATACGCCATACAGTGTGCTATGAGGGAAATTTTGCTCGGACAGCGGCACTACGACCTACTCTTAATCGAATTCCAACTGTCAAGGTATCTTTTTCGTGCACGCCAATGTGTACAAGGGTGTTTGTCCCATCCGAACGACTAGACAGCTGTCCTTGTCAGGCCCTCCGTCCTGCATCACTGAGAAGGGGGAACCACGCCGGAAAATCTGGATGAACTTTCTCGGCCAATGCAGGAATCGAACACCCGACCTCCAGGCTAGCGAGCCAACGTCTTACCCACTTAGCCACCGTAGCCCCTGTGGAGCTAACGGTAGACAGGCAGTCTAAGTTTAGTATGGGTTATTACCTTGTTGTGAGTAGAGGATGGTTGAGGCCCTCCATGTTAGATTTGTAGATTATCGTGTTCCGTTTAACGGGGACGGTCACTCCAATTCATCTTGTACGGTTTAACGGACAAGGGATCGGCTGGTCGGTATACACTCATAACAAGGGGTTGGCTTATGTGTGGTTTATTGGTCGAGGGCAAGAAATATGAAGTAATATATGATACCCCACAATGGCGTTAGCGTTAGCCCGAGTGTTGTTTCACTATATTACGCAATCTCGGCGGATCTGGCCTGTCTTCAACCGAGACGTAGTAATAGTTCCTTTAGGTAAACCACGAATTTCTTATACGTTTATAAAACTATAACCATTTACATTATTGCTGGTATTGCGAAAATTTATTTACACAACGTGAAGTCATATTTACGATTGTAGGCCTAACAAGTAGAGGAGAATCTCGGACAGTGACATCTGTAATAGCCCAAGTACCCTAATCTCTGTTATG